ATCATGGCTTTGGTTTGTACTGAAACGTCTCAATCTGGACAAACATGTAATTTATTGTTGAATCGTGTATTCAATAATATGCTATGCTTTTCCAAAGAACAATTCTTCATAACTTTAAAGATAAACAATGAAACAAATTAGAGAACCATGGTTTCAGAAGTATTCACAGAAACGTGCATGGGAAAAGATAAAACCACTGAGACAGTTGTGTGTGCATATTGTTGTTTTTGCAAAAGAAAAAAGTAGGCTACTGATATAAAGAAAAACGGACTTATATATCTGATCTCTGAAGAACCAGCACCTTACCGTGGTAGAGAGGTTTGTGTGCCCTGATGAACCTGGGGGCTGTGTTGTCTGGAACCTTGTGTTCCTGGTAGGGTTTCCCATGGCAAATTGGTCTCAGGCAAGGGGCCAGACTAAGATTGGTTCAAAAGACCTCATGAAAGACGACACAAGAAGTGAGGATACCCGGCCCGGAGGAAGCCCGGGGTCCCCTTCTGGAGCCAGGCCCAGAAGGAGGACTCGTCGGCGAGCGTCTGGTGGCCGGGCTTGCCACGGAGCCCGGCCGGGCCCAGCCCGAAAAGGCAACGTGGGCAACACCTCCGCTTCTCCGTCCCGCGGGCCCACCACCTACGGGAAACATCGATGGGGTCGGGTGCGCTGCCAGAAGGGTGGCAGTGAAAGCGGAGGGTCTCGACGGACCAGACCCGGGCGACAGAAGCTGGCTTTGGGGACGTGGAACGTCATCTCTCTGGGGGGGAAGGAGCCGGAGCTTGTACGGGAGGTGGAGCGTTACCAGTTGGATCTGGTTGGGCTCACCTCTACGCACAGCGTCGGCTCTGGAACCTTACTTCTGGATAGGGGTTGGACTCTATTCTTCTCCGGAGTTACTCAAGGTGTGAGGCGCCGGGCCGGGTGTGGGGATACTCACAAGTCCCCGGTTAGGTGCTTCGTTGTTGGAGTTTACCCCAGTGGACGAGAGGGTCGCCTCCCTACGCCTGCGGGTTATGGGGGGTAAAACTCTGACTGTTGTGTGTGCTTATGCACCCAACAGCAGTTCAGAGTATACGGCCTTCTTGGAGACCCTGGAAAGAGTCCTGTATGGGGCTCCTGAAGGGGACTCTTTAATCTTGCTGGGAGACTTCAACGCACATGTGGGCAATGATGGAGACACTTGGAGGGGCGTGATTGGGAGGAACGGCCCCCCTGATCTGAACTGGAGTGGTGGTTTGTTACTGGACTTCTGTGCTAGTCATGGATTGGCCATAACAAACACCATGTTCGAACATAAGGATGCTCATAAGTGTACGTGGTACCAGAGCACCCTAGGCAGAAGGTCCATGATCGATTTCGTTATCGTATCATCGGACCTGAGGCCGTATGTTTTGGACACTCGGGTAAAGAGAGGGGCGGAGTTGTCAACTGATCACCATCTGGTGGTGAGTTGGGTCGAGTGGCGGGGGAAGCCTCTGGATAGACCTGGTAAGCCCAAACGTGTAGTTCGGGTGAACTGGGAACGTCTGGAGGAGGCCCAAGTTCAGGAGGCCTTCAACTCACACCTCCGGCGGAGCTTTTCGGGCATTCCTGTGGAGGTTGGGGACATTGAACCAGAGTGGTCGGTGTTCAAAGCCTCTATTGCCGAAGCCGCGGCGGGGAGCTGTGGTCTCAAGGTCCTAGGTGCCTCAAGGGGCGGTAACCCTCGAACCTCCTGGTGGACACCGGTGGTCAGGGAAGCCGTCCGACTGAAGAAGGAGGCCTTCAGGGATTTGTTATCCCGGGGGACTCCCGAGGCAGTTGCAAGGTACCGACAGGCCCGAAGGGCAGCAGCCTCATCCGTGGCCGAGGCAAAGCAGCGGGTGTGGGAGAAGTTCGGAGAAGACATGGAGAAGGACTTTCGGGCGGCACCAAAGTTGTTCTGGAAAACTGTCCGACACCTCAGGAGGGGGAAGCAGGGAACCATCCAAGCTGTGTACAGTAAGGATGGGACGTTGTTGACCTCAACTGATGGAGTGTTAGGGCGTTGGAAGGAACACTTTGAGGAACTCCTGAACCCGACAACTCCGCCCTCTATGTTAGAGGCAGAGCTGGAGTATGACGGGGGATCAACACCAATCTCCCGGGGGGAGGTCACTGAGGTCGTCAAACAACTCCACAGTGGCAAAGCCCCGGGGGTGGATGAGATCCGCCCGGAAATGCTGAAGGCTCTGGGTGTTGAGGGACTGTCATGGTTGACACGTCTCATCAACGTTGCGTGGAAGTCGGAAACAGTACCGAAGGAGTGGCAGACCGGGGTGGTGGTTCCCCTTTTTAAAAAGGGGCGATCAGAGGGTGTGTGCCAATTACAGAGGCATCACACTACTCAGCCTCCCCGGGAAAGTTTACTCTAAGGTACTCGAAAGGAGGGTCTGGCCGATTGTCGAACCTCAGATTGAGGAGGAACAATGCGGATTCCGTCCTGGTCGTGGAACGACGGATCAGCTTTTTACTCTCGCAAGGATCCTGGAGGGGGCCTGGGAGTACGCTTATCCGGTCTACATGTGTTTTGTAGACTTGGAGAAGGCGTATGACCGAGTTCCCAGGGAGTTACTGTGGGAGGTGCTGCGGGAGTATGGGGTGAGGGGGTCTCTACTCAGGGCCATCCAATCTCTGTACTCCCAAAGCGAGAGCTGTGTCCGGGTCCTCGGCAGTAAGTCGGACCCATTTCCGGTGAGGGTTGGCCTCCGCCAGGGCTGCGCTTTGTCACCAATCCTGTTTGTAATATACATGGATCGGATTTTCGAGGCGTAGTCATGGGGGAGGGGGTCTGCAGTTCGGTGGACTAAGGATTGCACCACTGCTTTTTGCAGATGATGTGGTTCTAATGGCTTCATCGGTCTGTGACCTTCAGCACTCACTGGATCGGTTCGCAACCGAGTGTGAAGCGGCTGGGATGAGGATCAGCACCTCCAAATCTGAGGCCATGGTTCTCAGCAGGAAACCGATGGACTGTCCACTCCAAGTAGGGAATGAGTCCTTACCCCAAGTGAAGGAGTTCAAGTATCTCGGGGTCTTGTTCTCGAGTGAGGGAACAATGGAGCGTGAGATGGGCCGGAGAATCGGAGCAGCGGAAGCGGTACTGCAGTCGCTTTACCGCACCGTTGTGACGAAAAGGGAGCTGAGCCAGAAGGCAAAGCTCTCTGTCTTCCGGGCCATTTTCGTTCCTACCCTCACCTATGGTCATGAAGGATGGGTCATGACCTGAAAGAACGAGATCGCGGATACAAGCGGCCGAGATGGGTTTTCTCCGCAGGGTGGCTGGTGTCTCCCTTAGGGATAAGGTGAGAAGTTCGGTCATCAGGGAGGGACTCGGAGTTGAGCCGCTCCTCCTTCGCGTCGAAAGGAGCCAGTTGAGGTGGTTCGGGCACCTAGTTAGGATGCCACCTGGGCGCCTCCCTAGGGAGGTGTTCCAGGCACGTCCAGCTGGGAAGAGACCAAGGGGTAGACCTAGGACCAGGTGGAGGGATTATATCTCTTCGCTGGCCTGGGAGCGCCTTGGGATCCCCCAGTCAGAGCTGGTTGATGTCGCCAGGGAAAATAAAGTTTGGGGCTCTCTGCTGGAACTGCTACCCCCGCGACCCGACCACGGATAAGCGGGAGAAGATGGATGGATGGATGGATGGATATCTGATATATCACTTTTCCTCATCCATTACACAGGCACATTTGGACCACGTGTATATATATCTTCAATAATTATAATTTGTGGTATCGGGCTAGCTAAATCAGCTTTGATTGATTGCTTCATAACATATCAAGCTATACATCCTTGTCTTGTGTGTTCCCTTTCAGGCAATTAGCACAATTGATATGCTTAATCGTCAATTTTAGTGCATTCAAAAAAATAATATAATGTTCTCCTCGGTTATACACAACAATTTTTTGTTATACCGGATGAATTAGTCATGCCAGCTACATACCTATGCGGGTGACGTCAAAATCTCCGGAATAACATTACATTCCCATGAAAAGTAAACCGCCCACAGAGGATGATCCATGAGGAGTTCACAAGCCCATTTTTTAGCTGGTGAATTCAAGACTTAAATTGTAAGTATAACTTGGAGCCCTTTCAATGTCCACTTAATGAAAAATAAACCAATATGTCCAGACGAAATATTATTCTATATTGTGGCTATTCATTCATATTAGCAATCAAGGGACAAAACGGTAGAGTGGATGAACAAAACAATGACAGTAACCTTAAATAACGGCTTAAAGTAATAATGAATTCGCCATATTGAGTTGTTTTGAGACCTTTCTTCATGATGTAAATTATCGTAGTTTGGTCACTTGATTTGAATTCCGTTTGTAAGCTACCTTGTTTTTTATCGAAAAAGCGGGTTACCATGGTAAATACAGTGTGTTGTTGCTTCACTCGTGTTTTCGACGGCACCTGAAGGCAGCACAGCTATGCTTTACTTCTCTGGTCTGTAGAAGTAGCCTCTCCAACAAAAGTTTAGTTTAGGGAGTACAACTTTAATTGATCGTTTCTACTGTAATGCATCGACTCGTTTAGTATAGAAAGACGTACATTTTAGGGCTCCATGTTGTTCCCCTCAGTTCCTTTCTATTGTAAATAGGAGATAAACTTCCAGCTCAAATCTGGGATACTGGGAGCCGATGGAGCGCAGTTTGTATGGATACAGATGAGGCACGATGCTAGGCTAACTAACTAGCTACTAAGGTAAGAGCAAAAAAGCGATGAAGTTAGACGTTTTTTTGTACATTGTTTGCATGCATGTACGAAATGTATTATTTGTCAAGGCTAACGAACTAATTGTTTCTTTGAAAAGTAACAATTTATGTGAGTAAAATGTTTGAGAAATGCTCACAACTAAAGCGTCGTTGGAAACTTTTGAGAAACTCTCTGCAGCTGAGGCCCTGCAGCTTTTTTAAGGTGAGTTAGCAGATGGAAAAACAACATATCTTTATTTATTTATCCTTTCTACATATCGTTTCCTATAACGTTACCTGACCTCATTTAAACCCTTAAGATGTCCAGACTTAACTCAAGCTTATTTGTACAATTTGACGTTATTGTGTAAATCTTCCTCCATTTATACTGTGTTGTGTTCAGATTGTCTTTACATATTTATTATGTCATTATTATAATTATTATTTTCCCAGTAGTTTTAGCTCGAATATGAAAGTAAACCTCTCAAACATTATTGTAATTTCTAGTTATGCAATTTTGTGAGTTAATTTATATAATTGAATACATTCTTCTTAGTATAAGCCTGTATTGTATGGACAGTCAGTCCCAGGTATTTTGTGTAAAAGAGAACCAACATGACACCATAAACCTGACTTGACTGACCAGCAGAGAAGTTATGCAACATCCTCTTTTAACAGAAACTCACATCATTTTAAAGAATACATGTCTGGGAGGAACAATGAAAATTATTGCTAGGGTATAAATGGAAATGTAATAATATTTTTTTGTTTAAATCTTCTATAAAGGTGTTTTTCATCTTTTGAGCAGTCCCATTTGTTAGTGTTGTGATTTCTGTGCATTGAAACATTTCTGCTGCCTACACATTCCTGAGCATTGGCCCGGCGCGAGAGGACAAAGTGGCTTAACCCCTGGAACCTCAGTGACCTGCCGGTGGGACAGTCATTACAAACTCTAGCTGTGCTGCCAACATTTTGTAAAAAAATAAATAATTTTTTAGCATCTGAAGCACATTTAGTTTCATAATAAACCGAATAGGTCAGATAAAATATAGAGGAAAGTAGCATCACAAGTTATCTAGAATATGTTAATTAAATGTAACACAGCCATAGTAAACATATTGGCTTTTGGGTTATAATATTTCACTTTGTGTAAACATAATTGTGCTTCAACAAAGAGCTTGAACTGGCTGATATGGAAAATGTAAACAGTATAAATTCACAGTTAAGTACTAAATATAATAGCCACTTAATGGGAGCTTTATGTATAAATGTCTGTCTCTGTGTCATGCTTTTGATGTGTTTAGGCTTGTTCACTCTCACAGTGTAGGGCTTGGCCAACATTTAGAATAGACCTTGATTTGCATTGTGGTGAACAAACTTCTAATTCAGCTATCCACAAAAGGCACACCCTATCTGCAGGCTTCCTCATTTGAGATACGCGTGGTATTTGTTCACATCTTTATTACAGTCAATTAGAGCCTTTAGGCAACATAAAACTTGAAGCTGGCTGCAGGCAGGAAGAGGCAGGAGGGAACCCAGCAGCTCTAAGAGTAACTTTGTTTGCCTTTTTTCAAGTTTAAAGGTTTGTGGTGATTTTATGACACTACCTTGATTTGAGCTTCATTATAGCAAGATGACCTGTTTGCACCTGGGGAAATAGCGAAACTGCAATATATTGAGGGGAAAATGGGAAATCCCTGGCAGCTGATGGCTCCACACACTGGCAACGGTGGTCTAGCCGTACTCTTATAAAAGGACTCAAAAATATTTAAAGAATTTGTTTGGCCAGCTGCTGTGTTGCCTACACAAAGCTCTCTCTCGGTGTCTCTTGGGGATCCCTGGTTTATATAAACTACCCATGACATCCACCAACTGGCAACTTCTTCACAGGACGAATGTCTGTGATGTACAGCAGTGTGAGGGGAGTTGTTAACTCGTCTTCACATCCAGCATGATGGACTTAACTGCACAGCTGTTGTTAATGCATTATTTAAGAAAATAAATTGTGATACAGCTGAATTCCTTACAACTCTTAAGTGTCACTTTTAGGAATGGGAAGATATGATCACTTGGTGTCACAATAATTCTAGTCAAAAAATTGCAATTCAGGATATTATCCCTAAAATTAAACATATTGGAATCCCTTTAGATTACATTTTGTAAAGAAAATAATATTTATAACGACGATACGACACCTATAGTTGCTTTAGTGAACTTCCTTTAAAAAAAAAGAAGTCCCCTGCATAAATAAACAATGATACAACATAGATAAAAAAACGCAACATTGGGTGAGTCGTTTTTTTAATATAACAATATAACAAGGCTTTTTTTCACATCTCTACAACAATAGTGGATATTGTTGACTATCCAGATAAAGATAATTCACCATGATATACTTATTGTGAGTGTTTTATATTGGGAGAAACAATAACATCCATTTTTCATGCCTTCCTTATTTACAATGCCAGAAGTGTTGCTATAACCTCTTATCTGTAGTTTCCCATGAACAGAGGAGATTGTTTTTCTTCTCTATGACATCACTTCCTTTATATCTGATTTTAGGTTATCAAACTGCTTGGTATGCTGCCTGTTTACACAAGACGCTGCTGCTGTTCTTTCATTATATTAACCATACATGCGCTGGTAGTTTGTAGCAATTATACTTTCATGATCGTTGAACCAAGAAATGCACTGGGCAGGACATTAACAGTTGAAGATTAACATTTTCAATAATAATCTATAGGCCAACGACAACGTTCTTAACAAAGAAGTTGGGTTTAACCAGGCGCATTTATTGGTATTAAAGTTATTTACGAGTTAAAGTTGTATTATCAACATACAGAGTCCTTTTAATTCCATGAAAGAACATTTAAAAAAATGCTGTTGATTATAGTTTTATAGAGAAAACAATTAATATAGATCAGACTTCAAAATCAGAACTAGTGATCAACTGCATTCAGTTAATCTCTCATTTTCCCTTCTCTTGATGGAGAAACTATAGATTGGTTTCACTGTTCATTTTTGTAATTCAATTTCATTTAATATATATAAATCCAACCTGGCCGATCTAGAGTCAAAGCTTTCTAGAACAAATATTTACAAATATTTAGTTATAAGCTGCTGGTGCCTACAAAAATGTTGTCAACTTGTCATTGATCTGTGATAGGCCAGTCTCATATTTCACTACATTGTCAAAGCAAACGTGAAGGCATGTGTGAATTCCCCCTGCTTGAGTTCACACTATGAAACCTAAATGTAGAAGTTACCAAACCAAATATCTTCTGCTTTCCCCGGTGCCATGTCATTTGAGAACTGATTCTTCAGTGTCTGGGAATTGCTGGACCTTTTCTCAGCGGGTCTGAGCACCAACATTCCTGGAAAGCCAAAATGAATATTGAGATTCATATGAATGTCAGCCATGCAGAAAGCGAGCAGGTGTCTCTGTAAATCATGCAGACTATCCCACCACCATGTGTTTCCCTCTTTTTTAAGTGATGGCAAAAATGTCAGGCCACAAAAGGGCTTCTGTATTGGTAGCCCGGAAGTAAGAAGATGAGTGGTGAAGGTTTGAAAGCTATTTGTAAATATAAGCTAGTTCATTTGTAAGTTCATAATTTGTTATCCATTTTTACTGACCCCTTTAAACCTCCAGGAGATGGCAGTAGAAATGCACTGACCAGATATTGTTTGTACATGCAGAGCTGAACTGTAACAGTTTATTCTGAATAAAAGAGACGAGGTCAAGAGTCATCAACAGTTAATTATCAAGTCATAAAGCCACTTTTTGCCGGTGATGAAAGCGTGATATCTGGCTTTAGACGCATGCATGTTGTCCAACAAACCTGAACCCAGAGATTCACGGAGGTAAAACAGCTAAACAAGCCCTTTGACAGCATGTGTTTACGAACATCATGAGGATAAACTGACTAAGGCTGCAAGCCTATGAATATTTGTATTAATTAATCTGTCAAATACAAAATGCTTGGAAGGTGAAGTTTACAACCAAATGTTCTATCATCCATCATAAAGAGAAGCTGAAACCAGCTAGTGTTTTGGCATGTTTGCTGAAAAATCACAAAAGTTGTTATTTTGTTGAAAATCAACTAATTCATTAATTGACAAATCGCTTCAGCTCTTAAACTGATGCTATACTTAAGTGCTTGTTGAGTGTTGTTGGTAGATTTATTTTATCTTGAGCCCTTTGATGTCCCGTCTACTTTTGTATAGTAATGGTGCTTTTGTACTGGGACACATGTCAGGTTGCACCACCTTCATTAGACGCTGATAAGAGGGTAAAGCAAAGTGTAATTTCTCTTTATCTCTGTCATTGTTTTTGACACAGTTTCAAGCTGAGACGGGAGCACTGACTAAGTTATATGATACTGACTCAAGTGTTCAGCCCTCTGTATGTGGCCACTCCTCTTCAGCAGGCAGCGCTTTCTTAGTGGGCGAGTCTCTCATTCCTGACCGGACTCCACTCAGCTCAGGTTTTCTGCATTTCCATTGAAGTCGGGAATACTGAGGGAAGGTTTTCACTCTTTGGATTTTGACAGTTTTTTAAAAGTTTTTCATAAAGTAAGTGGATTTTTAATATGTTGTCCAGTTTTCCTGTACTGAATTCATCTATTGTCCTCTTGGGGCTGTTATTTGGATTAATGTGACATAGCTGTTCTTCTCCTCCTAACTATTGTGGAGTTGATATTTCTATATGTGCCATTGATGCTGTCAGTATGTTGTAATTGTTTTTTCTTTAAAACGTACACTGACTCTTGACTTAAAATAATGAGGAACATTGCCTTCAGCTAGAGTTTTGTAGTTCAGTACTACACTGCATATCTACAGAGCATCAAAGTGCTTCAGTAGTTTTAGTTCCTTCTTTATGCGATTTTGGGATGAGATTCTGATGGTGTTTCAGGGAATTTCTTTAGTTGGCACACCTTAACTAGTGATATGGAATCTGAAAATGTAAAACATTTAAAGACAGATGACTGGACGTCCCCAGATTTGAACTTCTTTTTGTCTTTTCTTGGAAACAATTACTTAATTGATCGGTACATTCAATCTCCTTCATGACTGAAAAACCCTTAAAGGTATCTTGATAATTGAAATCAAGCAAAAATGTAAATCGTCAGATTTTGGACTGTAGGTGAGAACAAAATCTACCATGGGGAAAAAGATCAGTAGTTTCATCCCTTGTGGGTTTATTTCTCTATTTGTTTTTTCGGGTTTCAAACTGCTGCGAGTAGTTATGTATATATTCATTGTTTGCAATCTTGTATATTGTGGAGAACATTTCGGCTAAAATTAGCATGTTTACATCTATTTTTGAAACAGCGCTGTAGGTCGTGTTGTGATTTAAGTGTCCTGTTTTAAGCTGTTCCACCTTAATTCAGCATACACAGCAGCCAATTGTTGGTTCTTTGGAGGAGCGAAGACTAGTCACAGTCATGTGAGCTGTTTAGAGGCTGTCTCATGTTTATGTCACGTATAGGATTATAAGGGGATATATATTCTATGGATTGTTGAACGTCACCTTGAGGATGGACATAAAATATATTAGAAATAACTCTTGCATGTTGTCATGACTTCACCATATCTATTCCTTCCACAACTCAATGCCTGCTGGGAAGCTTACCCCCCCAAGCTGTGACAAACCTCCCCTGTGTGTTGGTATGCACCCACCATATATTTTCTTAGTTAATAATCAAACCCACAAGTTTCATAGGTTGTTTTTTTTACACCAGCCGAATTTATGGCTCATGCGTCCTGAGTCTTATCTAAGGGAGTGAGATAATGGCGACCATATGACATCACAGACTAACAAACAGGCAGTCGCACGAAACTGCCTAAACTTGGCAACATGCGTGTGTACTCATGCTGTGGGAGACTATGACTACACCTGACTGTATAGGGTCAAGAAGGCCAGTCACACCTGAATCACTCAATCAACAGGTCATAGTATTAAGTAATGAGTCTTTGGAAAGCCTCTGTTAAGGCTGTTTGGCTTAGACATGGGTTTACATTTTGACTCATCTAGTGCTTGTAGCCTAATCGCTTGTAGTCATTTTATTTTATATAATAAGTTGTATTTTCCCCTTATGGTCTCCCAGAAGTTTGGCTTAAACGCTGCGCTGATTTTTTGGCTGAATTGTCACAGTTTGAATGTGTTCTGATTTTGTCTTTTGATTTTTACAAAAGACAATAAAACCAGAAATACAATGTGAAATGTTACACGTTGTTTGTTCAGTCAAATTTCAGATTTTCCGTTCTAATGTTTGAACACTGACACAAATTATCCCTATTTTCTATTAAATGTAAGTTACACCTAAAACCTTGAAAATTGTGATGGATGCTAAAGCTGAAATATTACTTCCCAGGAAATGGTGAGGGTCGACATTACCCAGTGAAGAATAGCAACAGTAAGTGGATCCACTGACATGGAGGGCAACGGAGAGATCAGTGACACTGACAGCGGCATCATCCTTCACTCAGGTAAAACATCTTGTCTTTTGTTTGTTGTAATTGGGAATCACACATTAACACAAAAGTCTAAATCACAAGCATATTTTCAGTAAATGAACGAATACACGTTATGCAGTTTTTTTAGACTATTCAATCGTGAAAGGTATACTCTGTAAAATGGTGAAAGACTTGATTGATTTAAATTACAAATTGATTTATAAAGCAAAGAATCAATCTCTTTCAGCCAGAAGACCCTTTGCTAGAGGCAAACAAATGTAGAAACTAAGACACACCTTAGTTCATCCCTTGGTAATCTTATCGCTGCACCTGCTTTTAAATGACCTAAAGATACATGAAAAATGTCAAATAACTTTCATGCTGATAGCTTTCTGCCAAAGAAACACTTTACTTCAAACTTGTTATGCTCTACTTCCCTGCTGTTAAATTGAGACTCGTTAGTAACATAAATATTCTCCCGACACACCAGGTCACCTTTTTTATTGCTAGGTCATTATTGGATTTGTCAGTCTTGTGCTTCACCAAATATTAAGCAACATGACATCCTTTCAGAGAATAACACATAGCAGATTTCAAGGAGTTAACAACTAACGCTATGGTTTTCTTGGTAGAAGACTCACTTTTGAATTCAATCAAATTTAATAAATATTCTTAAATCAACTCCACACTTTAGCAAACAGCAGATGTGTATTTGGGGTAATTCCAGCAAGTGTAAAAACAAGTGCGTCTGTGTTGTTCAAGAAAACAAGTTGTCATGTGAAAACTCGAGCAGGCTCTAAAACGCATGCGGTACATTGTGAGTTTATATCAGATTAGTGTCTGCACAACAAGCATCGTAAGTGATCCACATTAAACTTCAAATAAAAAAATTGCCCTGTTACATTGTCTATATATATATATGGATCATTTATTTGAAAAAAAATCGTATTTTTTATTCTATCCATTCTTCTTTATTTTTGGAAAACCTGAAGCCTAGATTGCCCACTGTGCAACTTGAGCTAATGTAGCCTGAAGTGAAGAGCAGGTTACAGAAGTTTCATTCGTCACATCCAACTGAAGCTGCCTCAAATCAGATTTCATGCAACTCCCTCATTTATTTCAAGCAAAAATTACAAAAATTCTTTAGCTCCAGCTTCTCAATCATGAGAAATGTTTGTGTTTTGTTTTATTCTCATTAAATTGAATATCTTTGTGTTTTGGAAAGTTACAGGACAAATCAATTTAACAGGTGCAGCTCAAGGTGTTGCTCTTTGTATTTCCAAAGTTAAATCGTATTTTTAGGTTGCAGCAGTCAATAAGGAAGTCATCCAAATAGTTTCCTCAGTCCTATAAGGTAACAATAACAAAGAATTAACAGCAAACTTTGACAATCTTGTTTTTTCTACGCCCAGCAGTGTCTACCGATTAGTAATGGCCTTTCTGACATTCCTTGCGGCTTAATTGAGCCACGTGATGTCTACCCTATACAATGAAAAAGGGTCAACCTACAAAGAATGGGGGGATTGTCACTATAGGAAGAGAAATTATTTGCCCTATTGTAGTGCTGTCACTTCTTTCCTGTCGCAGCTCTGATGTTTGTCAGTACCTGCAGGGATCCTGTTAATAATCTCTGTAGGTATGCAGCACTCAATGCCTTTGGCCTGAAGCCACTCCCACAGCCCTGAAACTAATCTTAATGTCATTAGTCACCGAGGCTACAGACAACACCAGTCGAACACTCAGACGTTGTTTATAGTTACAAAGATCCAACCAGCCATTCTACATGCCAATAAAGAAAACAACGATAATAACAAAATGTACGTTCTGTTGAATGAAACCACGGTGTCATCTGTGGCATCCAGATTTAATTTGAAGCTGTAAAATAACATTGATGGTAGCATACTACAAGCAGGCCAGAATACTTACAAGGCAACAGAAAAACAAGTCAAGTATATAGATGCATTCAAATAGAACAGGCTATGTATATGAACATGAAAGACATGGAATATTGGAAATTAAATCAACATTTGATGACTTAATCTTTTAACTTTTAAGGAATTGTATTGCTATATATGACAAATAAAATGGAACAGACGGCTGATACATTAACAAATGCTGTTGTAGCTGAGATATCACTCAGCTCGTGATTTTTAAATAGATGTATTATGTTCTTTTTCCCCTGCACATTTCTTCCTTTAATTTCATTGTGGCTAAAAAAAACTCATTTGTTCTCACACATTTTGTGTTTTGGCTTTGCTTTGTATTGCATAACAAATGTGTCATGGCGTTTTAATCCGTTTCTACATTCAATAGCCACTTTTCTCTATCGGGTTGTTGGTTATGACGCGCCTCTCTTTGCTTCCAAACAAACTTTGCAGAGATCGTTGTCGCGTTGAATCACATCAGATGTATTCTTTGATCAAGGCGGCATACAAACATGAAGAAAAACGTCCTCGCTTCAAAGTAACTAAAAGTTCTCCGTATCAAAAATAGAACAAAAAGAACATGGTCAAAAGACTATACCGCTTCCCGTCCAATCACACACTGAGCTGTGTTCCATTGTCATGCCATATATAGGCATATAGACACGCATGTCATACCTTGACAGCGCACATTTGACAGCAAATAAGTGAGACTTCAATTAACATCTTTTAAAGGGTAGTGTGACTCACAAAAATCAATAGTTAAAAGTTTATTCTAAATCCTTATATTATTAAGCCAAACATTCAAACCATAATGATGAAAGTAAAATGGCTCTAACAAAATGTGTAACAGTCTCATTATCTGAGATATATAAAAGCGCTTCCTTCATTTCACAGGCTCTGATAGCCCAATGACACACATGAAGGATGTGACCACACATACACGGGCCATGAAGCTCAAACACCAGGCTCTCCAAGAACGACTGGAGATCTGCCTACTGGAGCTGAAGAAAGTCTGCATGCGAGAAGCTGTAAGTACAAGTTATCTGCAAATGAACTGGGGGTGGGGGAGAGATTTTTGTATACAGCTTATACTGTATATCTGAATAAGTCAACGGGATTGGAAGAAAGTGGTCAAATCTTTTATTCTATTGGAGAAAACAGATTGCTATAATATTGTGATTATATTGTACTGTGGGGCCTCTGGTGATTCCTACCCCTAACATCAGAAGGTTTAAACTGTTTCAAAACTAATGAGGCTGCAGAAAGAACTATGTTGAAAACATGTCGCAGAATAAATGTCTCGTATAACCCTGAACTTCTAAGCTCATTCAATTTGGTTTAAAAATATTTCTAGTACAGCTAAACTAATTCAAATTCAAGACAATTGTTACGTAATGAGGCAAGCGGTCCTTTTAATGAAGGATTTAGTAGGTGGGGTAGTTTTAGTACAGGATGTTAGATGACGCATTTTATTGCAGGTGAACAAAGTAACCTGCAAGAGAAGACATTTCTGAGATGTGTTCAGCCATGTCCCCACTAATGTGGATCTATTAGAAATGCTGTTTGGGTCAGAAAGTTGTGTGTCCACACTTCTGATGCTATAAGGTCTTGTTCTTTTCAAGCCAAAAATGTTAGTGGTTTAAAAACACTGACTTTGATGTCCGACAATTTGATACATCTTTTAAATGTATCTGCCTCAGCTTCCCAATGTCACAGTCATGGTCTAATGAGAGGGAACACAAGGTCTTTTTATCCGTCCTCCTTTATGACATTATTAGTCTGGCTCTTACCACTGAGCAGAATGCAAACATTATCCTTTTCCTTTCAGACAATGCCATGCGGCTGCAGTGAGATTTTTTTTAAATGTATCACAGCCTTTGAAGAGGTATTCTGGTGGTTAAGTTGGCCAAAGCTATTTCAATGTTCTCATGACAGCTTGGATTTAAATCCAGCATGAAATATTGCTCTTGTCACCTCTCCATTTTCAATATTTCTGCTTCTCTTTCTCTTTCTGCATTGGAAAATATCCAAATAAGAATATCAATTGCCACATCCAGTCGTTTCGAAACGGGACACATATTCCTTTGAAAGTTTCTCTGCCATATGTCAGTGCTGTGGGGTAAAATCCCAGAACAGATCATTCTTTCCTGTTGACACTCGGGCTGGGCACTCCTGTCGGGACATGCTCAGGTGAACTAATGGGAGCCATGATGCCTCTCCCTTCTTTTAGTGACAAAAGAACAGGCTTACGTGTTTGTCTGTCTGCAAAGGTGGCTGGTTAGGAGTGACTCAAAGTAACCATTTCTGTGACTCTTCGTTAATGAAATCAGTAATGGTGCAAAGTCGTGCTCTGTGGTTGGTTGGGCACAGACACTCGATACAGTGAGAAAGTGAGACCTGAAGAATGTCTTGTGAAAGGAAATCTCTGCAAATGCAGAGATGAATTGTGCAACAGATTCCTTGAAACTATATGTGCCTCAACATGTAAAGAGAACTGAATGTGATACATTGTTTCAAAAGTGCCAAAGACATGGTTCAATGGACTCTCAAGAGATGGTTTATCTTTATTTAAACAACTTAACCGAAAGTATAAAAAGCATTGATTGGTATCATTAAAAACACTTATTGATAATTATACTTTATTTGGACAACTCAACTGAAAGGATTTAATAGCATTCAAAAAAATATGTCTTTATTTTGATAAACCAAGCCAGACGATCTGTCATCATTCAAGTTTTCGTTTTATTCAAATGCATCTTTGTGGACATTTGGATTTGTAATATTTTGTGTGGTTTAGGAGTTGACAGGCCGGCTGTCAGATGATTACCCTCTGCTGCCAGGAGAGAAGCCTCCGCAGATCCGCAGACGTATTGGAGCTGCGTTCAAATTTGATGAACAAAGCTTCCCTCGAGGAGCAGAGGTAAAATCAGCATTTATAAAACGCAATACTAAATAATGTCATTTCAAAGAATACGTAAACATCAAGGACATACAATGTTCAATTGTTCAATTCACACTTGTTGTCTCTCTCGTCATTCCCTCATTTCACAGGAGTCAGAACTGAGTTTTGTTGATGCTGAGTTGGCGCTTCAGATGAAGATATACGAGGCAGCACGCAAGCTCTGCGAGGAGGTTCACCCGAGTAAGGCTGTTAAGAAGAGCCGCTTACAGCAGTGCAAGAGAGAAGAGAAAAAACTCAAACGCCTGCAAGAGACAGCCTTTCAGCTTCGCCTGGAGCACGGCCGTTCATCACCACTTCCTGCTTTTAATATTGCACAACACGGTGAGAACACAGACTAGAAGATGGTTTTTTGTCAAAATCCATTTCACTACACCTAAGCAGGGAGTTATTTGAATATGAATAATTTAAAGAGCTCTGGATTTTCATAGATTTGTAGAAATGTATTATGTTCACATGTGAATCAATGCATTTATTTCTGTTTTTCAGATCTGGGTACATCTGATGACAGCTCTCTGTCTGATTCTGTGGTGCAAGATGAAGGTAAGATTTACCTTTAGTGCTGCAACTAACAATTATTTTAACTTTTGAGGAATCTTAGATCTTTTAGATTAATCAATCAGTTGTTTCCCTATTTTAGAATGTTCGAATATAGTAAAAAAAAGAAGTCCATCCCGGTTTTTTAAAGTCCAAGAGGATGTTTTTTAATTTCTTTTTTTGTCCGTCCAAACCCCAGTCATCTTTAGTTTAGTATGAAATAAAACAGGGTAGCAGGAAATCTCTATATTTAGAAGTCTGAAAACAGCATTTTAAAATCTGTCAATGAGAATTAGAGCAAAACAAACTTTGTTGTGGTTTAAAAGCTGGTAGCCACTGCTTATCCATTACCTATAAAACATACAATTGTGAGCAGAGTCCACTAAACATTTTCTCAAATACTGCAGTCCTCATGGTGCATCTTAATAAAATATGTTTTTCAAAGCATACATAAAGAATCTATGGAGGAAATATATTTGTATTAACACTTAATAGTTTTCTGCAGCTATAATACACTACATATTTTTCTTTGTTTCTTCCTAGAAGTGACAAGTCAGTCATCACAGCTGTCTTCAGGACTCCCTGATCCAGGAGAGACAGACCCGCCCCGGCTTCCCTCTGTGTCCTCACAATCCTTCTCAAAGGGCTCCTACATGTCTCCAGCTGCGGCTCCACAAAACCTGCCGCAGACTCCAAGCCAGTCTCCCCATCCCAGCCTCACGTCTACGCCCAGTTTCAGCTCAAGCCCTGCAAGTGACCTTCCTCCCATCCAACACTCCCCGTGGACAGAGTCTAGTCTGGACCAACCTTACCAGAAGAACAGGAAGTCGCGCTCCTCCAACAAATCGAGGTAACACCAACCATCCATCATGACTCCATTCCTGTTTATCAACTTTTTAGAATTGGGGAAAGCAAAGTGTGGTTTGTTTTACTTGGTAAACTGTGTGAAATGCAGATTTTGTGGTTGCTAGTTGCATTAGCAAGCTTGTGAGTGAGGCGACTTTGGTTGGATTCTTTGGAAACTCTAGGGAAAAACCAAAGTTGATGAAAATGAAAAAGAAACAAATCCTTGTGCATCAACTGAAGAAGTCTGTTTTACCTCAAACAGGGATGGGCTGATATAGGATTATATTGCTAATCCAGTAAACAAAAAACATTCACAATAAATTAATTGTGGTAAATTTCTATTATAGATATATTTGTGAATATGGGGCATAAAAAAGCTCCCTAGCTTTCTGTCATTGTCGTAAAGTTGAAAAATACAGTTTGTTTATTTATTAATACAGTGGAATCTTATAATGTATGATTTTGAACCTGATTTAAAAGCGATAGATTATTCACTCAAAAAGATGTGTACTACATTTGAAGCAATGAAAATATCTGTTTCTTTAGAAAAAGGTTGATGATTATCTGGATTAAAGATAATAACTTGAAGTGCAATTACAATGGCCTGAATAATCAGGATGTAAGTATTTCATTTCGCCCCACGCCTAACCTCAAGGCTATGAGGGCACCCTGATTGGTTACTCCCTTGTTGCTAGTGTTCGTGCATGAGGACAATATCCAGCAGCAAGAATACACTTGTCTTTTCTTTTCAACAATGCTGGACAAAAGCTCATTTAGAAATTGAATATCTTGTGCAAACTCATTTGTTCTTTTATAGCAGAGTAAATGACAGTGGTTCATATATGAGCAACACTGCCATCTGCTTTTGCTCTGGTGCAAAAGCAGCCAAAGGGAGAAACTCATTTCTGTACATCCGGTTTCAAAATGACACATTGACAAAGAGGAAGAACCCTGGCTTTATTGTCCACTAGTAAATTCCTGTATTAAAAACTCCATATTATGATAACTGTAGTCCTTCTCCGGCTGAGGCAGAACAGCTGTAATACTACAAGACTCCACTTCATCCATTAGCTTTCTTTTCTTTATCTTTGGGATTTCTAATGTTGATGTCATTATGAAAAATATTTTTTGATAAACAAAGAAACTTAATATAATGTGTTTCTTGTGTGTTCAACAGTCCATTCAAAACGGAGTTGTTACCCCCGCTGGAGGCTGTTTTTGCTTCCCACCTGAAGCTGGGCCACAGCCAGTCCAACAGCATGCCCTCCACACCAGAGATGAGAGTCCACAGACAGCTCTCCCTCAGGTAGCCCCCCCCCTCATTCACCTCCACAGTACTGTATGTCTGCAGCGCAACTATATTCAGTGCTGGCTGTAAACTAAAAACTAAAACGGTAAAATTACTGTAACTATAATAATTGTATTGACTCGGATAGAAGAAGTACTCTTCTTAATAAGTGTAAAAAAGTATCTGGTAAAAAAACTGCTCACGTATTGAGTAACTTAATTACATGCAATTTATTACATCAATTATACGATCAGGCTTGTTCCAACAGGTAATAACAAAGCTTGGACACCGTTTTTGGGTGTGTTTTTGTGTGGGCTGCTTTTGTCTCTTGCTGTTGGACATTCCCTGTCGGGCGTGTGAGTTCAGCTGGATGGTAAAAGTAGCAAGACGTGTGTAGCCCAATGTTATAACGTAGAAGTAGAAACATGTTGTTACTAATTTACTTAAGTAAGGGTACAAAGTATTCTGCAAAAAACAACTACCTCTTAGAAGTAAAATAAAAAATAAACGACTCGACTTATGTAATGCCCACTATCCACCACTGCCTAAGCTAAAGCTGTGATTTACTGCAAATGTTATTATTTACCTTGTTTTGCACATTACATTTATTATTATTTGAAACAGTGACTGAGATGTGCATTTTTGAAGAAAAAAAACGTTTTCCTGGGTAGCCATATTAATGCACTTGCTCCTTTCACAGAATACCCAACCCTGAGTCTCCATTTGAAAGGGAGCGAGGTCGCACAAGAAGTGCAAGGAGGCGACTGACAGAATTTGCAATAACTTTACCGGATGCTCCTCTTCCTGCTGTGAACTACGCAAACTACGTCAACTCTGAGGATAGCAACTCTGAACACTCGTTTTCATCTTACAACAGCTCACCGTGTCAGGAGCTGCCCTGTGATTCACCCAAACAGTATCAGTCTGCATTTGTGCACTCTGGCCCCGGGGGCAGCTGTGGCCCTCAAGGCTTCCAGAGCACTGGCTTTTACCATAACCCCCGGCAACAGTCCAGCCCCGGGTTTCCTAAAGCCTATTACACTGAAGAAACAGCCTACCGACCTGAACTGGACTTGGCACAGGGCTATTACACCCAGCAGGCTCCCTGTCCTCCCAACAGATATGAGTATTACTATAAAGACCCTGCTGTGCTCCACCAGAGAGCACAGAGGCCTCTACCTCCTGATATCAGACTCTCCCCCTCCCCGGCTCAGTGGGAGCATCCGCAGTACCGCTCCAATGGCCTTCCAAAACAAGTAGTGAACGATCAGCTGACCTCGTGGCACCGCCGCAGTCAGCTGAAGTCCCCCAGGTCCTGCTCTCTGGACAGACAGGGGGCTGTCAGAGTTAAAAACATTTCTGCTCGGGAGACCGCCTTTCACCAAAACCAGAAGTACCATGAGCAGGTAAGCAGACAAAAATATTTTGACACACATCTTACAATCTGTCAACATAGAAACAGACATACTGAAACAAGTAGTATTAACCAAATAATGAATAATTTAATAAGTTCTTCATGACAGGAAATTGTTTTTATTCACCTAATCACTAAGATAAGAAATTCTGACTTAAGAGGCATTTTGGTAAATGTGCCTGTTTGATCAGAAACCTGTGGGTGAACTCATGTTGTAAAATAACATGGTTTCAATAATTTACTTATATTGTTTCTATTTTTCTTGTTGCTAACTCAGGTTATCCAGAGAAGGGCTCTTCAGAGAGAGGAGACTCGCTGGGTGGTAGATGACGGTTCTCACTTTATGAGTCAAGTTTAAACCAAGGACACCTTGGACCGCAAACTGAGAGGCGACTGCATTTATTACCAAATAACCAAAGTGGAGTCTTAAGAAAATCAAGTCAAATTTACTTTTTAAGCCCCTAAAAAACGTGTTTTTTCATGATTCTTGTTTATCTTTCTGCCTGCATTAAGGCATAATAACGAATGCATCTTACACTACAATATGATACAAAAATGATATGGCTACTAAAGTGACTGTAAAGATAACCCCGGTTGCTTATTTTTGTCCACTCTATATGAATTCAATGCTTGTTAAATGTTACTGAGAGCTGTTTGAACCTGCCACAGTTCAAAACTCATATTTAAGTTTATCAAACAAGACCACAGAGTTTCTGCTTCTTTAAATACAGGGTTATTTTGATATGCGAATTGACTATGATATGACATAACGAAACGGAAATCGTCAGCCAATAGTTTGGAAGCTCTAACAGGGAAATGCCCAACACAGTTTAACATTGTTGTCAGATTGTGAAAAATGTATGTTTTTAAAAAGTAACATTTAACTAGTTACATTAAGGTCCCTGTTGAAGGTAATCTCACAAGAACTAACATCAATTAATCATGTACATGTCTATAACTACTTAGTTATACAACAGAGTGCTGCATTAGATGTTGCAATCTGTAGTGAAATTATGCAACTTCAATTGAGGAAGTGTTCAAGACAGAGAAGTTTACTTTTTGCTGTGTGGTAGATGGGGTGCTCAATTTCTAGCTGTTCGAATGAAATCAATGAATTGTAAAATAATGTAAATCAGTAACATGTCCTTTTTTAGCTACATTTTGTGTATAATTTTCCATGATTTTTTTTTCATCATGTTAATGAAGCTGCTTAAATTTAAGATCCCAGTTGTTTCTTCATAATCATGTACTTTTAGAGGAAAATGCATCTTGTTTTTCTACTTATTGTGTCTGTGGGTCTGCCAGTTAACTTGAATTACTTATAGACTTAATAAAGTAGTTGAAACTAAATATTAATTTACTCACATGAGCTGAAAGGCAGCAAATTTAACAAACAGTCTTGATGTTTGGCAGCTATTAAAGTGTTCGAATCAAATTGAAATATCCCAAACTTTAACAGATATTTGTCAGTGTGTTTAAGATCTGCTCTCAAACCACTGACAATGTGTGATTCACAATCATGTCTCACGATCAAACACGCTTTCAACGGTTCAAATGAAAGCAACCTTCTGCTAATTCAACTACAGCTTCACACTGACCGGTCCCTCATAGTGATCTATGTGTTTATTTATTGTGATATGCACCATTTGACTTATGGAAAGTCAGACTTGAAATAGAAAAAGACATGGACCTGAGTTTGCAAAATACAGCAGCAGTAAAGACTGTTTTGAGATGTGTATATAGAAAAAAACAGAACACAATCATGTAACCTTGTGTGCCTCTTTTTTACTGTATTTTTTTTTTAATTTATCAGTTAAAGTAGTTTAAGTGAACCTAATAATAATGTGTTACGTTGCTGATGATAAATCTGTGAAGTGTTTACCCTGTGGAAGAAAATAAAAAATAATGTTTGCATAGTGTTGAGAATCATTTCCTCTTTTATCTTGCTTTTTCCAAAGTAGAAATGTTGACATGTCATATTAGAAAAGCACAGGTGTAAATAAGGAAGATTTTTGAATACTAAATTATATTTTGTGCTAATATTCTTACTAATAAAAACCTTTTTCTTATATTATGAGTACTTTCTTAAGGAAGAGGACTTATGTAACCAGTCTGTGCGAGCCAGAATCGTTGTTGGTTGCAAGGGGCTCAAATACTTATTTCCAACAATTAAATGCAAATCAATTTATATCTCTTACATGATGTACATTTCTGGATCATCTTTTTTATATTCTGTCTCTCATTAGTAAAATAAACCTACCATTAAAATTATAGTCGGTAAACTTACTAAATCTACAAGGGTTCAAATACTTATTTCCTTCACTGTGTATAGGGACTATTGTTCATTCTCAGCTCCAATGTTGGCATATCCACCTGGTCCAAATGTGTGCAAACCTGAGAGTGGTAAGTATTTATTCAAGCTTAAATTGCAATTATTTAAATTATGTATTAGTCTGTCCAATATTTTCTGTTAAGTATTGCCTATAAAAATAGAGAAATAGTCAAACTAATCTTCATCCCACTTTCTCAATGTCCAAGTGTATGTCTTTAAAAAAAAGTGTCAGTCAAAGCATACAGTTTAATAATACAGAAAAGCTGCATTTAGCATTTTTTTATACCTAATTGATTAAGCAGTTAGATATCCATCTCAAACTAAACTTGCATTACATTGCGTTTGGTGAAAAGAAAAGAAATATCTAAACAATATCTGTCGTTTTCTCATATTCATAAGAATTATGTATTGCTTGCAAACAGGAGCCTGCATCTGTGCCCTGGGAAGAGCACACAACGGCAGTAGAATGAGACCAATAACATGTAACTTAAGTGATATGTCTCTATTGATTCCTTTATCATCCACAGAGCCCAGAAGGTGTCATGCAGGGAAACATATATAATTTGTAAGCACGATTTAAAAAATACATGCTCTCATAATTATTATTATGTATTAATCAGTGAATGTTGGCATAGTTTAGCACTTCTTTTTAAAATACTTTATACTTATACTTTAATATTTAAAAGTGCATGAATATAAAAAATGGAAGAACACAGGCCACATCCCCCTCTCTGCTGATTATAATATCCTTAATGCATTTTATATAATAAATACATATTTTTAACATTATGTCCTCAACTAGAGTGACTGGTTTGCAAAGTTTGAAAATATATTAGTTTTTCTGGTTGTTCTACTTCTTCTTCGGGGCTTTTATTTTGGAAAAAAACGGAGAGGGCTGCGGTTGGTTTTACGGAAGAGATTTCAACTTCCGGAAAGGATTGTGTTTTCGCATATCGATAAATAATTCACCTTCCTGGTTTGAACATTACCTTGTCAGGTAACTTGTGTACATTGAATTCAATTGCAATAACGGATGTTAGTACAGTAGTCTATCTAGATCAGGGTATATGTTGTGTCGTCGTGAGGACTTTTACCTCGCCGCTGGTTCACGTTTATTCTCAAACCAGTGTCGCCTGCTCGACTGGTTAGCATCCGCTCGGCGCTAGCTTAAAGGTAACGTTAGCAACACGATATAAGCGACCCATGATCTGATACCTTATTCGCGTATCAGGTAGTTTATTAAAATGTCGTTCTGCTCCATGCTTTAAAGTGTTCACAACCGTATAATTATAATGGATCCACGTATGTTGGTCGGTGTGTTGCGGTTGTTTACATGTTGTACTCCATTTTCCGTCTGACGCCGCTAATCACCAGCCGTCTGCCAGGCTATGCTAAACGCTTTGTTTCTATTGACAACCGTGTATCAAATGTCAGTTTTCTGTATTATATATGCAGTATTGTCACTACTACGTCCGTCGAGCGAAATGTGTTCTTGTTGACATTGATCTGAATAAGTTCATCCGGTCCTTTGTTCTGCCGTTGTCTGATCGATGTAACACGGATTTCACATGCGACCCAGATTAAATATCAGCCATTTTATTTCAGGATTTAGATACATGTTTATGTAAGTTAGGGATCTGCAGTATGCTATAATACTAAATAACCTTACTGCTTTATAATACTTTGTCATTTACATAAAACAACATCGTGAGTACGTAACACCGTGTCAGTGTTGTATGTGCTGTACTGAATGCATCAATATATGCTCACAGACCCCTCACTGTATACAGACTCATTTAGTAATGCTCCAATAAGTGATTTCCGGACCAACCCGTTTATTGAGGCCGAGGCCAAAACATAAGCCGTGATATAAGATTCATCTTGCAATTACAAATAAGATAAGATAAGGACAAACATTTGGATTGCTATGCTATATTGCCTTCCAAAGAAGGGATTGTAAACTCGCACGACCCAAACCCCTACAATTTACTTTCTTGAAAACATAGACTAATACAGGTCAGACCGTATATTCTTACTGATAAGCATTTATAGGCTATAGGTTGGCCTACAAAAATACAATTTTTTCCCCTTACCTACACTGATGGTGAAATCCCTTCTCTGCAGCTTGGTACAATTTCAAAAAGGTTGATGGATGGATGGATATTTCTTAATTATGGGCCAATTAAGTATAGGCCACATTTATAACATGCATATCTACGTATTATCTATATAATACCTGTTAAATGCACTTAAGGACACATTCTGTATATATACAAAACATATATATATAGTTAGTTGTATAACTGTTTCTGTGAACATTCAGAGCACAACTCACATACAATTCCTTGTATTTGCATATACTTACTTGGCCATTCATTCTAATTGTGCCTGTGTGTAATTGTGATTATGTTGGCTTATTTTTATGTAGTTTTGTTTATTTTTTATGTATAGCTCCATGTTTTTATTTGAATAGTTTTGACTCATATCTCTTCTTGTATATGTCTTTTATATGTCAACAGTAGCCAGTAAAGCTGATTTTGGTTATTGTTGCTCAGGAGGAAACTGAAGTGCACCTTCTGAAGCAGAATACAGAGGCTGTGAGTGGGTCATCAGGCAGTCTCCCTATGTCAGGCCGAAACGGGTCTGCAAGTGATGCAGACTGTCGGATCTCTGAGGACTGCCATGTCCCAGATGTGGAGCTGATGGAGCTCGGGCCACTGTTGGAGGAGGGAGGGGGGCGGCCTGCAGCATCGAATGGCGTCCACTCAGAGGTAAGGCTGTTCCACAAAGTTCCCCAGAGAATAGTTGTTATGGCTCAATTGCTTCAGTATTCTCCTGTTATTTCATTAAAGGGAGCCACAATGCTTGCTGACGAGGAAGAGGAGGATGATGAGGTCGAAGAAGTCCTGACCTTACCACTTCAGGCCCACCATGCCATGGAGAAGATGGAGGAGTTTGTACATAAGGTATGATGTATTCTTTATTTAATAAACAATATTCAATGGGTACCGATTCAGGTTAGGGCACCAATCCATCAAGATCTCATCAAACCACACTTCCAGTCGAAGGTTTATACTAATGTTTGACACTTAGGAAGGGTTTGCCTATTAGGTCAGAACAAAGTCAGTTGGATGTTTTATCTTTGGAATAAATTGCACAGATCAAATCAAGCACCTTTGATTTTAAAGCTTGGAAATAAACCAGGGCTCGACATTAACGACTGCCCGATGGCCCGGGGCCATCTAGTATTTAGCTCGGGCAATGAAGCCTCACCTGCTGGTTGCCCGATCGGGCAATCTATTATGCCAGTATCATGCAGCTCGCGGATCCAGTAATGAGTGACCCGACAGTAAAACTAAACTTATCTATAACTAGTTTAGGTAGTTTGAGAGGTAAGTAAAATAGCTACGTGTGATATTCTAACCTGAAGTGTGTGTTTTGTCCGCTCACCGCTGATCATGCAGAGCTACGTGTCGACTCGTCAGCAGCAGCTGATCTCTCTCTCCCGTCAGATTAGACTTCACTCGCGTTTATGTCCATATCGATCAGATCCAGCTAGTTCTAGCTAATGATATGACTACCTGCTTATTAAAAGACACCTAAACAATAAGTGTCGCTATGCAACCGGGTGAGGCCACAAAGTATAGCGCAGCATTATGCATTTGTTTACATGCCCACCGGAACCCCGAGGCATTACCAACAGATCAACGCACAATCAACCCACACAGGACATCTCTTTCTCCACATTAAGTGTTAGACATTAGAATTGACTATTCATGTCTGTCACATACTCTTCTTGTCTGTCACATAAGTGGCGCAACTGAAGCGGTATTGCGCTAAAGGGAAATAGTTTTGACCGAAGAGATTTAGATTTGCTGGCAAACGGGAACTCTGACGTCGCCATTTTGTGTGCTTCGCGGATGCGCTCGGCTCCTCTCGACTGCTGCTCGGGTCTGCTTGGTCAGCTTCCGGACAAGGGGGCATTCGTTTGACCAACTTACAGTAGAAAACATTACAAACATTTTTAACAGGGGCCATAATAGTGTAAATAATGTTTGTTTTGGCAGTTATAACTGAATGTAATGTTTTCTACTTTTTTACATATGGGAAGGCATTTGCCTTCATCAGATGGAAAGTGTCTTGACCAACAACTTAAGTATTTCTTATAGCTATGCAGGGCATGCAAATGAGAAAACACAAACAAACAAGTGAAATGAAGAATAAAATTGAAATTGTACAATACCATATTGTGGTGGTTCATCTTATAATGCAGTCTAGACTCTAGAGAATGCACCAGACAGCATCTAAGACCTGCAAAAATCTAAATTTTCTAGGGGAAGGCTCCCCCAAACCCTTTGTGCGTAATTTCGTCCGCGCGCATTTTTCAGGGCAATCTCTATTTGTAATCTATCTGTAAATTAGCTTAGATGGCCCACAGGGCCTTAATGTCATGCACTGTAAACCAACAAGTGTTACTGTTATAAATATATAAGTTACCTCTGGTTTCAACAATAGATTCAGCTCAATGGGAAACACATGATTGTTAAATATTGTTTGTTAAACGTTCCTATGTGGCATAATAAGGCTAATTAAATATCTCATGACATTACGCAATATGTCTCCCCACATTAATATTGCAACAGCAATTTAAAAGGAGCTGAAACTCAACACGCAGTTCATCTCAGAGCTGTATACCAGGTGTTGAACAATCTTCCTGAATACCTGAGGCCCCCTGAAACTGTCATAAAACCAGGGATTAAGACATTAATGTTAACTGCAGCTTTCCAAAAACTACATCATTTGTTTTAGTGTGTTGCTATTTATTTGCATGCTTTTACTTTTTCAAAATACAACTCCTTTCTTAATTCTTACTACTCCTTTCTTTACTTTGGTCATGTTTTATTGTTGTTCAAATGCAGTTTAAATGTTTTATTCAATTCTTATTTTTAATATATTGAAAAATATAATTATTAGTTTGTCCCTCTAAAGCAGGGGTTCCCAAACTTTTTCAGCATGAGACCCAAAACAGAAATGTTGTGGTCCTAAGGGACCCAAGCTAAAAAAATGTCATGATTTTCCATAATATCTACAGTTATAAACAAAGAATGCAACACACCATGAATTTAAAATGAAAATATTTATTTAATTATAAAAGTGCATCGCCGCAATTAGGTTTCTTACCATAACAACCTTCCCTTTGAGCTTGCCCAGAAAAAATAAGGATCAAAGCAGAAAGACGAAACATGGGAAGTGCAGTCCAGTATATACAGAACAAATTTAAATTATACAATTATTAAAAATGCAATATTAAGTTTGTCACTAGCTCAAAAACTATGTACACACATTTTTTAAACACTTTTAAATGAACAGAGCTGTTGTAAAACACTCTGAGAGACAAAGAAACTCCAACACTTGGCAACTGATTCACTTTTTTTTGTGGAGACTGACTTGGTAGGATGTCCTCAGTGCCGTCTGTTCCCTTTGAATGCCTGAAAATAACAGAGAAGATATTATCATTATCATTGCTGGGTTATTGGGTGATTTTTAACACCAGCCGGCGTACGTATACCCAATGTGGACCTGGCAACCTCATTTATAGCGCATTACATTAGTTACTTGTTAGACGCTTTTATCCAAAGCGACTTACATACTCAATACTGTGTGGAATCCCCACAGAGGGATTTTGACAGGGTTGTTGCACAAAAGATCCAAGCGCGCACAGAATAAATCTGAGAGCAGACATTTCACGAGCGCACAGAAACAGCCTGAGTGCGAGGAGAAGGTTTTAAGCTGGAACACAGGAAATCTGTAAGCAGCAATATATCTGAGTGCAAGCGTACAGTTTGAGCAGAAGCAGAGCAGATCTAAGCGCAAGCAGGCACTATTTGAGTGCGAGGACAGGGTTTGAGGGAAATAAATACATATTCTGAACGTGAAATCAATAAAGTATGCTCTCAAATTTAAAGACCACGCTCTTGAATAAAGATGGGGAATAACCCCCATGTATTCCCATGTGCATCACACTGCAGCAGTCACGTCCGTGCGGCTGATACTTTCTCTCGCTTTCCTTCTCATACTGCCTGTCACTTTCCCTCTAATCTCCCGGCCGTTTTAAAAACATTTCGGGCAAGTAAAAGTTGAAACACCGCTCTATGCCGCTGCAGAATGTAGTGGACTCGCGGGAGCGAGTAGAGGACGCACGAGAGCGCGCAGCTGGCGGTCCGCTTCGGGGCTCAGTCTGCATTTCATCCAACTTTGCATTAACGAAACAATTTCACAACAAACCCTGACAAACTCACAAACACACAAAACAAATGATTAAAATAAATGACTTACTTTTCCGCCGTCAAAACACTGCTTCTTGAAAGACTCTTCTTTGCAGATGAAAAAATCCTTCGATTTGTCCCGATGCAGAGGATGTTTTGTTTGGAGATGTCGGTCCAATTTATTCATTTTCAAGCTTTCGTTACTGAGCACCTCTCCACATAAAACACACTGAGGCCGCTCCTCTCCATTTCTAACAGCTTTTGTGAAGCCAACGTTTAAAAACTCCTCTTTGTATCGTCTTTTTGCCATCATGTACGATCGGGATTAATCAACAGACAATAAACAGACGGCGCGAAAACTTTCGCGGGGGACGCGTCAGAGCTGATACAAATACAATCTTTTATTTTTAGTTTATTTGTATTTAGAAAATTAAATCATTCAATATACAATGCTATGTATTTGCAACGCAGCCATCAGCTCTGACGGTGTGTGTGTGTGTGTGTGTGTGTGTGTGTGTGTGTGTGTGTGTGTGTGTGTGTGTGTGTGTGTGTGTGTGTGTGTGTGTGTGTGTGTGTGTGTGTGTGTGTGTGTGTGTGTGTGTGTGTGTGTGTGTGTGTGTGTGTGTGTGTGTGTGTGTGTGTGTGGTGTGTGTGTGTGTGTGTGTGTGTGTGTGTGTGTGTGTGTGTGTGTGTGTGTGTGTGTGTGTGTGTGTGTGTGTGTGTGTGTGTGTGTGTGTGTGTGTGTGTGTGTGTGTGTGTGTGTGTGTGTGTGTGTGTGTGTGTGTGTGTGTGTGTGTGTGTGTGTGTGTGTGTGTGTGTGTGTGATTAACTGGCGACCCAATCAAAACGGGACCCTGAGTTTGGGAAAGGCTGCTCTAAAGCACTTGTAGAAATATGACTAGTTCAGCAGAGGTTCATGGGCACACGGTTGCCGATCTGGGTGAACAGCAACAACCAGGGATTAAGGTATAACTGCTGTGTAGTGAGTCATTAGTGTGTGTGTGTGGGGGGGGTTATTATTCAACGTCAGACACATGTTGTGTGTTGTATAAGACTCATACATATCTCCGTGGGAGACCAGTGTCAGCTTACAACAAACAACATATTGGTCCATGAAATACCGTCACAACACATCGATAAGAACACTGATCAAAAAGATCTGACTAACCTGTTTGATGAAGACAGAATAGATGCTGGCTTCAGTGAGATATAAACTATATATATATATATATAAATAAACTACATTTAAAGTAATGATCTCTTGCAAATTGTAGTCACTGCAGTATCCCCAATTGTGAGAGCCTCATAGTGAATGAATATGTCTCCGAGTGACACCTTTTCTAACTATTCAGGTTTGGGAGGGGCGCTGGAGGGTCATCCCTTTCCATGTGCTGCCAGAGTGGCTAAAGGACAACGATTACCTCCTGCATGGACATCGTCCCCCGATGCCCTCCTTCCGGGCGTGTTTTGGAAGCATCTTTAGAATTCACACTGAGACAGGAAACATCTGGACTCACCTGTTAGGTACGTTTAAAACACGCTGATAACATTACTAAAAGTGTGGTTTCTTCTCTATGTCAAATTGGCCTCTTTTTTTCCCTCAGGGCTGATCTTATTCATTTGTCTGGGCACGTTAACCATGCTGCGGCCCAACGTGTATTTTATGGCCCCTCTGCAAGAGAAAGTGGTGTTGGGGATGTTCTTCCTGGGAGCTGTGCTCTGCCTCAGCTTCTCCTGGCTTTTTCATACCGTTTACTGCCACTCTGAGAAAGTGTCCCGCACCTTCTCCAAGTAAGACCTCGCACCTCCTTACACGGCTTCTCACATTCTCACCTTGCATGTCTTAAGGGAATCATTTGTAACTGTCAAAGTGTTTTACTGTTTTAGACACACTGCTCTTGGAGTAAACAGGTTTGGAATGTCAGACATCCGTATGTTTCTTCATACTAGACCTACAGGTCTTGCCAACAAAGGGGCACACCCACCACTATTATTTGAGTTTAAATGGTCCATAATTTTGTCAAAATCAATATGAAGGACAAAGGACACTAATGTACCTTAATCAACATGATAGAACTGTAAATGTACCCGAGTTAGCTTAAGGCTAGTTTTCCCATTGGCCGTCCTTTTAGTCGGATTAGGAATCCTAGAGTAATACAAATAATACAATATGTTTAATCGTTAAAAAACATACTTTTTTTGTAGGCGTTTATGTCAATGCATCGTTCTCAACGAACACTGAGATATGTACCTTTACAATAAAGACCATATTGATGTCCCTCCCTTAAAAACAAAAACTCCACAGCAGAGTTTTAAAGAAATAAACATGTGTTTAGAAACATGAGAATCATCAGCTGTTGTCTCTTTGTCTCCCCTCTCTTCAGGCTTGACTACTCGGGCATCGCCCTCCTGATCATGGGCTCCTTCGTGCCCTGGCTGTATTACTCCTTCTATTGTTCCCCTCAGCCTCGACTTATCTACCTCACCATTGTTTGTGTCCTCGGCATCGCCGCCATCATAGTGGCCCAGTGGGAACGCTTCTCTACACCTCGCCACAGACCTACAAGAGCAGGTGACAACCACTTAAAGATATTGTACATTTGTATTAATGAGCTTTTTCTCTGCAATGTTTTTGTGGAGTTTTTATTGTAGGTAACTGGATTTCATGCTTCTATTAGGTGTGTTCATGGGTCTTGGATTAAGCGGCATTGTCCCCACCATGCACTTCACCATCGAGGAGGGCTTTGTGAAGGCCACCACAGTGGGCCAGATGGGCTGGTTCTACCTGATGGGCGCCATGTACATCACTGGGGCCGGCCTGTATGCAGCCAGGATCCCTGAACGCTACTTCCCTGGGAAGTGTGACATCTGGGTTAGTATTTGATGTTATTACATTATATTACAGAACTTTAAAAGTTGCACAAATATTTTAGTTTCCTGCCAACTAACTAAAATGATATTATACTTCATTCACCTTAACGTGGTGGAAATCTGCAATGTTTACACATTCCCTTTGCTTAAAATAAAGAATTTGACAATACCACAGTGTAAAATACATTCTAGTTTCCTGCAATTAAGATTCTACTTAAATAAATGTACTCAAGTATTGCTAGCAAAGTGTACGTTAAATATAAAGCACTAACTATGCAAACAGGCCCATTTCAGAGTGTTACCTATGTCTGGAAGGTCCAAAAATAGATGCTCAGATGCTCTGTTTTTTAGAGTGAAATCTACAACTTTATCATTTTAAAAGTACATAATGACCTCACAAAAACTGCCAGTACATCCCTGAGTAAATCTTATCCGCTACATAAATGAAAACATCTATGAAGGTCTGTGAGGCCTTTAATTTATAAGAAAGCATCATTTTTCATTAGTTAATCATATAGTTTGCATGTAAAAAAAAAAGTGTTAGTGTAAAGAAGTATAAAGTACAATAATTGGACGTCCTAAAGTACAAGTACCCTAACATTAGTAGAGTACTTACACCTTGTTAGTTTGCACTGCTAGACATTTCTGCCCACAGGCCAAGTGGCTGTTTCAGTCCCAACTGTGGTCAAAAGAGGTATTTTTCTTTTTCTTTGATCAAACACAGGTGTTTGATTATAAATGAAACCGTTAAAAACATTTCTTCCTCTCCTTCTAGTTCCACTCTCATCAGATCTTTCACGTTCTGGTCGTGGCCGCGGCCTTTGTCCATTTCTACGGGGTTTCCAACCTGCAGGAGTTTCGCTACGGCCTCGAGGGAGGATGCACAGATGACACTCTACTCTGAGAGGCCTGACTGTGACTTCCTCATACTTTTCTTTATAGTCCCACACACTCACATGCACACACACACAAAAACACACACAATCACTTAAAATGCTGCTGGAATTCAATATAGTCTCACTTGTTGCTCCTTCTGTACTTCTGATTTGCTAACATCTTGTTTGGGTTTTGGTGGTCTTCTTTCTGTTTGGCTCTTTTTTGCTCCAATAAAGTAGCATTACCTAGCCATTGAACTACGGAGGGAATCTTCAACGGGCACTACTTCTTCAATAATTATGAAACTTGAAGTCTACATTTTCAAGTAAGGTCAAAATGGGATTTTAACCAAAATCATATATATATATTCCTGTAACTGATGGTCATTTCTTAGAAGCTCACTAGTACCCCAGCCTTTTCATAATCCGTTACGATTGCACAGAGGGCACAGAGAGTATGATTTGTGCTGTAGCAGAGGGCACATACTGTAAACCATTCCTATCCTCCCTCCCAGTTTCCATGCAGGCCAGAGGATGAATATACTGTCCACCAGGAGTGAGGTGTGGAGCAGTCCAGGCCCATTTATGTGCTTGAGGGTCTGCACACACATTTGTACTAGGAGGATAAAAGTATACACATAATGTGTATGGATGCCACCAGATGTTTTCTTACTGTGCTGACACTGATTGTGCGGCGGTGTGTCAAATCTCGGAGGAGTGCTACAAACCCACCCATGCCCATTCTGCAATAAAAAAAACTGTACTCTTAAGGCCCAGTCAATCTTACATTTTATAAATAAATAAAAAATGACATTATTTAGAAAGGAACATAGAAGCAAAATCCTAAAAACATGATGTCTAGATGTGTCTAACACTAGGTTTGATGCTCATCAAAATTATTGCCGAAAGGAAAGAAATTACGATGTTAAAAACTGAGATTTTCACTGATATTCTCTGCATTGTTATAATTGACTTAAGACCCAAGCAAATGCTTTTTCAAATGGTAGCATAGCATGATAAGCTGCAATTTTGCAAACATCTATCTGCGCACTTGTATTTAGACTAAAATGCTTAAAATGTAGAAGTCGAAAGAACTTCCCTGCCATCAGTCAGACAATACAATTACTAATTTCTCAAGTAATAGTTCCTGTGCGACGCACAATGTACAGATCTGGATCGGTCAAATTGTGTTTTTGTCTGCTAAAGATATTTCTTTTGTGCTAGATTCAAATGCAATGAGAGGTGTAAATATCTAATGCACCTTAGTGTATACTATTAAATTCAAAACTTTAAATCACCATATGGGATTTAAAATGTGTTATGTATGATTGATATAAACTTTTAGTATTCCTGTGCCTTAGGCCAACGGAAATGTTTTTAAATAAAACGGCCTATCTTAACAGTCAAAGGAGCTTCAAGGATTTCCAGATGTTGACTTTTCTTGTTTTCCTTGCCATATATACAATCGAATCATTATTGAACTTACAACTCCATGGATAGGTTGTATCAACTGCTGTTTAAGACTCCTTTTTCTAGATCAACTTATTCGAGCTTTATTACAACGACTAAAACAATGTGTATTCTTGACTTTGTGTAATGTCCTGTGTAGAAAGTGATAAATCATACATTTCACTGAAATGTAAACATAAATATTTATTAATGGTAATCTTGGAAAATTATTGTAATAAATTATTTTCCACATGTAAAAAAAACATGGTGTTCTATTGTCATTTGTTTCTCACAAAGTAGTCCTGTGACATTTGCAAATGTTATATCCGCAGTAAGTCAACTGTGAAGACAACAGGATTCATGGTCTAACGCTCAGTACATGTCTGGATACCACACACAGTGTGTACATCAGAGTATCTAAAATACTGCTTTCTCTTAACAATTTTCCTCAATTATAGAGATCAAGAGTAACCATGTTTTAATCACATAAACCGTTGTTAAAAAAACTGCTTCTTGTTTGATTTCTTGGGATCCGCTGCTGGTTGGAGATCAATTAGAGCAGAGAGATGTGTGGGATGTGATCGCAGCTGTAATGTCCATCACCAGCACATGCTTTCCTTTTTGGTTTAATAAATAGATCCATTATTGAATTTGATTATAAATAATGCCACACTATCGGGACTAATAATCAAACATTATTTGAAATCGAGAGATCATGCATGCCTCCCTCAAGGCGTCACAATTTCAATATTTTCATTTTAAAATAGGGGGGGAAAATGTTCTTACTGGGCTTTATGCATATTATAGGAGCTTTATACAACAGTGCTTAATGCACGGACAAAGTATGTGTTTGCATCTTGTATTGCACTCATCTCCCATGCTCTGTTGATGGATAATTGTTCAGCCTCTCACTGTACTGTAGTGTCACAGTTGAGAGTTGTTGTGGCTCATTTAGGTTTTTTATATAGCCGAACAAGCATTCACCTCGCTCAAACTCCCGAAATGGCTGTAAACACATTCAGGTTGAGTGTATGTGGCTACAGCATCAGTGTAGGAGAGCAATGTATGAAACAACACAGACTCCTCAAACTGGCAGCCAGGATTTGTTCATGTTTTGCTATTTCATACTTCTACTTGACTAATTAATAGGCATATCATGTACCTTTTACATTTATTCTTCAACTATAATTCAATTAAAAGCTGTTTACAGAAAAGTATTGCATTGAAATTGTAACAATACTTACTTATTGACTTACATTGTTTTATTTACGTATTTTATTATCCATTTCACTCTTTTCAATGTATCTTTTGAGTCAGTGCTTACTTCTTCTTGTCTTAGGACAGTTACAATTAACCATGCTACCCTCAATTTCACTATTTCACTTATTTACAAACGTCGACACATTATTATGAACGGAAGTAGACACATTCTCTCGTAATTTTAAAGTTTTAAAACATATCAGAAATAGCAGGATATATCACGAAGGTTGTTTAATGAGGAACCAAAGAACAAACTTGTGTTTCTGAACGGGAGCATTTAGTGGCTGGTACACTTCAGGACCAGCTAGAATGCTAGCCTAGTTTAAGCTAACCTGTCTTCTTTTACGATTTTATTGTAATACTTAACACTTTATTTACTTCAATATTGAGGTAAGGGCTGTTTCACTTTATTAAAGAGTGTGTCTTTTATATAGATATATAATGTGGTTATTTATTCTAAGTCTGTTGAATTCAGTGTTAGCATGGATGTTAGCATAAATGCCAGGGGTGGGGTTTTCAGTTAACGTTTATTTGGTCATTTATCAAACAAGCGAATATCCAAATGGCCTTTTAACACACATATTAGACTGGGGTTCAGCGTTTTGACTGCTACAAAAATATTATTGCATGATGAAAAATGTAAATATTAGAGGGTTTCTTGTCACGGACTTCCGCACTACTGAGGTTCCGAGTATTTGTAGTTCCGGTCCACCGGGTGTAAGCCCCATCTTTTTTTCATAGGCACTCTAATTTAACATTAACCAATCACGGTTAATTACAGTTACTGTTATTTTGGACAGTCCGGTTGGAGATACTGTGTCCCAGGCCTTTAGTGCATGTACATCAACGTGAATCTGCTGTTTGTTTTTACGGTCAGAGATGGAGAACAATCAAGAGTCCAAAGAAAGCACGGACCGGTCCGACCTGGTTTCTGAGGACGGCAAGAACATCAAGACTGTGGTGTGTCAGCGGTGCGGATCCAAGGTGCTGTGCCCCGGGATGGCTGTGTTTGCAGAGAAGGAGGTAAGCTGTCTGAAATGAGGCGACTGATCACATCCTTGGGCTCATATATTGCTTTTTGGGTGTTAAATCTGTACATAGGTTCACTTGTTAGGTACACACCTTGAGCTGAGCATTTCTATTTTCAGTACAGTTTCAGTTAAAATACTGTCATACATAATACATAATGGAGTGAAATAACACACCCTGAGAAACCTTCTGAGACTGGAGAATAGGGCCCATACAGCCTACTAAGACAATGCCATTTAACCATTGTCCTGGATATCGAATAAATACAAGATAATTAAAAAACATCAACCATTAATACTGATGTCATCCATACACGTGTTGTAAAATCATGAAACAATACAAAAACACTCACCGCAAATAACCAATTGTAACTACATATCAATAATATATATGCAATTCAACTGGCAGACCATTCCGTTACTTAATAAATTATAGCACTCACACCTGCCTTTAGGAACTTTAAAGGAATAAAAAGGACATAGGTGGCTTGTGAAATTAGAGAACTGCAGGGTTTATACACTGAGAGCACAATATAACCAGAGGCCTTTAGAGCTTTAGGTACTAGGAAGTCTTTATATCTTTGTAAGCCAGGAAGAGGATCTTGAAAAGCAACAGGTAGCCAGGGCAGCTGCAAGAATTGCTCAGTTGATAAAATAACAATAGCAAACCTTTTTGGTATTCGTTGAGATCGTTGTTCATGCAAAAATGACAGATAAAGGTGATATCTCTTTGTTCAAACTAGGGGTAACTCTAAATAAAAGAAGAATACATGGCAGTCTTTTCATGTAAATACCAATTCCAAAACTCTGTTCCTTTGTTAGTGTTTTGATGTCAACTGAGGCCTTGTTTTCCCCCCAACAGCTGTTCCTCCCATCCATGCGGAAAAAGAGCGGCCTCAGCACCACAGAGGGCTCAGCGGACGGGGACACTCTGACCGCCCACTGGTTTGTGGACGACATGTACACTTTTGAGAATGTGGGTTTCACTAAGGACGTGGGGAGAATCAAGTATCTCATCTGTGCAGATTGTGAGATTGGACCAATCGGCTGGCACTCTTTGGATGACAAGAAAAGTTTCTACGTTGCATTGGAAAGGGTTAATAATGTATAGTCTGAACTACATGAACTTTAAAAATGTGCTGGCAAGCTATGCATCTTTCATGGATTTAATCCATTACACACACACTTATATACATGTGTACATTGTTTATGATTACTGACGGTGACACTATCTTTCTTCTCAATCACACTGACAGTGTGATTATCTTGTTCTAATAAAGATGTTTTGGGGAAGCTGTTATTGAATCCCATCCTGCAGTAGTTTCTTGGATAACGTGATATATTGTCCTTTCAGTGTCTTTCAATCAAAGAAATCTCAGTTCCAGTTTAATTTATGAGATTAAAATCCCTTCCAAACACAGGTTTGAAGATGTGGGGCTCTGTAAACCTGTGATGGGAACTTTCTCCATTCTTTCTACATTTAAAATACATTCAATCCTTTTCGATATATTATTTAATCCAAAGAAAAAAACTGAACAATTCTTTAAAGATTGCACTCAATTAAATATTAAACATTTGGCACTGGTGTATAAAGAGCTGCAACCTTATGATGGTTAACTTTACAGTCAGTAACCTGCACTGAATAACTAGTTAACAGTTTACACATTGTGTTACATTGACCTTATTAAACCTCCATTACTTTAAAGGTGGGGTAGGTAATTTACTTCAGAAACACTTTTTGTTATATTCCATGGAATGCTCTTAACATCCCGATAGCAATGAATACATTAAATGATTTGACAATAAATACATTTTAAAAAATGAATCTGTTGAAGCCGTGGCGCTGTAAAAAGCACGACTATAGCCGGCCCGGCTAAAATAACTGGATGGCCTACCTGCCTGTCAGCCTTCCATCTCGTGCACAAATGTATCTCGTGCCCTCATTGGTCATGTGCGCGTTCGTGTGTGTTGGAGGAGGGGCTCTGTAAGAAAGTCTGAAGGAAGGGGCAGTTTTTTTTCGGCTGCGTACTTTCAAAGTCTAGCGCACTCGAGTCGAGCGAGAGAGAGTTTCAGCTGGAGAGTGCGTGCGGACCTTTCGGTTAGATAACAGGCGTGTGCAAGTCCTGCATCTGTGTGATACAAATGTGTGTAAAATGATACCGGGCGCTGTAATCACTCATCTGGTTACGTTATTGACCACCCCCACCCAAAAAATGGGCTTCCCCTACATTTTTCCCCACGTCACGCTACTGGTTTGTACTTGTTTAACTTGTGTCCAGTTTCTGAACAGATATGAGGAGCTGTGAGCTCTGAGTGTGTGCTAACGGCTGATGTGTTGGGACATATTTCGCTGTCGGGTGTTGACCAATCACGAAGCGTCATTTCTTGACTGGCAGCAAAAACAACCAATCACAGCAGTGCTTCTCTGGCTGGCTCTGTCCAATCACAAACAAGAAGTGTTCTCCCTAAAGGAATACCCTTTCCGTCCAATGTGAAATGCTGTGGTGTTTTCTGAAATGCTGTGGCGTTTTGTGAAATGCTGTGGCGTTTTCTGAAATACTGCGGCGTTTTCTGAAATGCTGTAGTGTTTTGTGAAATGCTGTGGTGTCTTGCACTTCAGGGCCACCGTAATTTAGCTTAGGAACCTTCCTAACCAAGTGAAATGACCCGGAAGTACGTCAGTGGCATCCATGTTAAGTGCCGTTCCAATTCTCCAAATGAAAGGAAAGGAGGTTTCAAACTTCCTTTATAACCTCCTTTAGCTTAGGAACCACTGGACCTCCCTTGACGAAAGGAGAGGAGAAAATGCTGCCCCACAATGCATTGCAGCCGCAGCATTTGCTGTCACTCAACAGTCGGCCGTTCACGGAAACAACCGATTATGACCGAGAAATTATATCATGAACGTTACGGTGCTTATTAAGCATTTTAAAACGTATGTGGTAAGTTGCCAAAGTGCTCTGAATGTTCGTCAGTATTATAATCAAAAAGAGAAATATGAACGTTAGTTTTTACTGAAATGATCAAATAAAGTCAACATCTCACAGTCTTTACTGAGCTGTGTGGAGTTTGTTCAACTTTTAAAAGATGTTTGAATGGTGATATACACAGTGATAGATGTTAAGGACTAACGTTTATAATAAATACATTTGTATTGATTTTAAGATATGTTCATAGTTCATACAATCATACGTATTGGGATCATTTGTATTAATGTGGACCGGAGGGAGAGGGTGCGAGCATAAGTTTCACTTTCCTTTTTTATTTCAATTCCAACTTTGGTCATGAAGAATATGTTTCTCTGTTGTCCACGTTCATAAAGCATAAAGCAACAGCATCAGAGCACGGTGCAGAGTCTCTAGATGAGTTTACAGGTAGTCCCTCGTTCTTATTGAACATCCATGTTGTAGTCCGCTGTATAGAAAACTGTAGTTTCCCCACAGCAGCAGACGCACATTCATGACGTCCGCTGGCGCATCATAAACACGTCAGATAGTGAAAGTGCATTCGGATTCTCTAAAGTACCGCGGTCTCTTCTCCTAAATCCTTTTGAATTCTCCTATCCACTATCCCTTAACCCCGTGACGTTTCACTCAGAGGTCAAGGAATAGGAGATAGGGTTAGAATTTAGGAGCTGATTTTTGGATTATCGGAACGCAACCCTGGTTTCTCCATTTTTACCTACCCTACCTTTAAAGTGTAGTTCTGCAGTTTGCCACTAGATGTCGTATGTAATATTTCATGGCACCCAGCGGATCTATGATGTTGTGATTGTTGTTTAGTGTGTGATGCACACCTACATACATAAACATTATGGTTGTCGAGTATATGTTTCGAATACTGTACTGGGCATTGCAAACTAAAATACCCTGAATGTGTGTAAAGGTGGTTGAAACAATTGAGTTCAGGATGCCAGTAAGCAAATAATAGTTATTGCCTAGTTTTTTATGTATTTCAAATCTATTATGTTAATTGTTGAAGCACTGTATTGCTGCTTATTCTTGGCAATTTCTCCGTTGTAAAAAAGACGTTTGATCTCAATCGGACAAACTTAAAGCTAAGTTTAAAATATATTTATATTACAGCCCTTGTAATATAATTTTTTTTGTGTGATCCTAATTACCTTTAAATATGTACACTTGACCTTGAAAGACACCTGTCATATGTGCCCATTATAGGCAGTCCAAAATCAACCAAGAGGAAGTTCAGACGAAACAGAGAACAGGGACATTCAAATCTGTGGTAGAGCAGAAGAAACAACTGCTGCTCAAATAAAAACAATCTGGGAAGTGTAACTGAATTAATTAAAATGTTTATGTTTAAAACATAAACAGCTGAAGTATTAACATATGACTGTCTTCTCTACCAATCAACGTGCTCCTCTAGACCATTTAAAAACGAAGTTCCGGTCAGCGCGCATCGATCTAGTGGGTGTGTTTGATTAGGGAACCCAATGTACCGTCTGATACGTTTATTATTTCGGTTTAGCCGGGCGGGGTAGGGAAGGGCCGAATACGTATAATCCCTTCTTTTGTGAAACTCAACACAGTACACCTGCGTGCCAGCAGGGTGAACGAATCAAACTCACCCAAAGGAGGGCAATCATCTGATAGGAGACCACGGAACCAATACACTACAATAATCCGTATTTTAAGTATTGTGCCCACAAAGTGTCTACTGTTAGAGAGCTAACTCTACCTAACTGTATTTAGGATGACATATAAGTACATTTAAATTACGTTCAATGTGTGTTCTCAATAGTATATGACCTACATGCATTTAACTGGTTCAAACAGATATCCACGAGCTTTATTTGGGTAGTAAAACAAATATGCACCTAATCAGCATTAGCATTAGTAATGGTGTATAAACACTATCTTTGCGTGCGATAAAACCATACACTGGGTGTACAATGACAGTAGAATGTGTGTGTCTACTTTTTTGAGCGGATGAACACAGTCTCCGGCTGTCACCTCTCGTCTCCAACTAGATAATTCGTCTTTGAGTTGAATGAGTGGACATGAACTGAAAGACTAGAAATTAATAGCGAGTATACATCAGGCGCTTTTTGAAAACATTTCAGCTTACAGTCATAACAAAGATGCAACGATGACTCAACCACAGCTGAATGAGTTCATTCCCCCTCCGGAGTGCCCTGTTTTTGAGCCCAGCTGGGAGGAATTTGCCGACCCTTTTGCGTACATCAACAAAATACGACCCATTGCAGAGAAAACTGGCATCTGCAAAGTGCGCCCGCCACCGGTGAGTGTTTACACATGTTGACAGTTATTACACTTTTTCTGGCTTTGTGTTTTGCTCTCAGCTGCGGTGGATAATTTAGAAGGCAAAGTTGTGTTTTTAGACAGCTTTCAACATGGCGGATTGCGGCTCCGAGTTAACAGCTAGCCGGAGCTCGGACTGTTGTGTTTGAGACAACCATAGTGAGGCACTCTCATACTAATAATTTGGATGAAGTTTTTAACCCACGAGAAGACAGACATGTGTTTAGTAAAACAGCCGTCTTTTTGGGCACTATTTGTCAAAAATAAATAAAAACGCTGAAGTTTGGCTGTATGTAAATATAATGGAAAGTGTTTACGTTAGTATCAAACGCTTCCTGGACTGGGCGCACGGAAATCGGCTCACCAAGATTCAAACTAATAACGTATCCACTGCTTTTGAACAGTTTGTTGAATGTAAAGCACAACTTTACCAACAGGATTTAATGGATTTAGCCAGTATGAGGTGACCTAGCGATCGTTAATCAGGCCTCTTATAAAGCTGCAGTTGTCTAACGTCACGTACGTGCACGGTGACCCTCTGTGTATGGAGAGACGCGTTGGGCTCCACGGACACTCTGGTTCTTTTAGCTTTATCCCGTCAGAAACACACTTAAATACGGTTATTTTACACTATTGACAACGTTGTTTTGGTAGATAACTTTCCGAATAACCTCATATGATGAAACAACTCCCGGACTTATTATATGTATATATTTTTTCTCCAAATTGAAGAATTATTTTTGCCACATCTCCCTTAAACGAGTGTAATTTTTTCCAGGACAGATAAAGTAATTTCCACAATGGATAGAATTTAAATGATCTCCTTATTTCTGATATTGATGGAACAGGGAAGATGCTTATTCAAGGGTGTGTCCAAGCTTCCACGCAAATTAGATAAAGGGCAAATTATACTGAATTCAATTATAACACATCATACCTTATTGTTTAATTTAGTCTTTGGTTTGATTGTACAAAGTCTGTCCTTTAAAATATTAAACATGCATATCTAGTAAAAATAAATGTACATGAAAATACAATACACAATTATTTTAAATGAGCACAATGTAATTGCCATGACTGATATCATATTGGCTGGTAATGTTTCAGTTTAAAAACATGAGGGTCCCGTTTGTATGTAGTCTGCCATCAGATAACATTAGGCTCATCTTTATATAATGAAGTAGCTGTAAAACTCATTTTGCAGAGTTAAACTGAAATACAACCCACAAAAGGATAGATGAGGGGACTGCTTGGTGTTTGCTTGTCCAAAAGGAAAACTTGCATTTATGCATGGTTGAAAGTGTGTAGCTAATGTAAACAAAAGAAGGCTTTGAGCAAAGATTGGAGCTGATAGGCGCTTCACATGGGGGGGGGGGGGGGGGGTGTGCTTTCCTATTTACGGCACTGTTTGGCTAGTGCAAAATGTCTTTATAAATGCATTTTTTTAATTGTGCAATTTTCCTTTTTTAATTGTGTATCTTTAATACTTTTAAATACATGCTTCTTGGGTAATATTAAGCTGTATTTGGCTCTTTTCTTGCTGTATCAAATGTACATATCTCCTCTGTGGGACGAATAAAGGTACTCTGATTCTGATTATCATGAAGAGGTATTTGAGTGGCGGAGTTATAGCCTACTACTCTAGCCTGAACAGCTTTAAAGCCATCACGGCAAGCCGTTTGTGTTCAATGGCATCTTTATGAGGGGTTTTAAAATGAAGGTTTTTAAACTTAATACCATATGGTAAAAAAGCAGCATGGCCCAAAAGTTCAAACAAGAGGCCTGCTGCTTCTCCTTCTTCTTGAGTGTTTATACTGGTATTAAGAAAACATCTTGTATCAAAAGAAGAGAAAAGAAAATCACAATTTAAAACCTAACTCCACCATTTGTCCCACACTGTGTAAGCACCATTGTCTACCATGTCATGCACCAGCATTTTCTACTGAACATCCAGACCAACATTTGGCTGCAGGGTGGTGTGTGGGCAAAACAAAACCAATAAACAATCTTAAATCCTTCAGCAATGTGCATCTGGGCGCATGAGAGTGTATTTCTACTAAAGCACATTTTTAGGTGTTTTGAGTTTGTTTTGTGTTTTTATAAAGAGGACGCTCGAGGCTTGTACGGAAAAGTTCACACAGTGTAAATATAACATCCTCTGTGTTTTAGAATTGATCTAGCCTGAGATCTCATTTTCTTTGTTTCCTTTGTCTTGAGCATAAACAAAAATAGTTTGTTTTTTTAAAGGGAAGAAGCCATTACACCACAACCTGTCTTCTATCAGTGATTTCTGCACACTCAGAAAGTGCACAGTATTTCCTCCACGGTTTGCACGGCTCACATTTTGACTGTAGATGTTAGTAGCACATATGCACATGTTTTTTTTTTATCTTAGAGCTGTTTGTGGTTCTCTACACACCAACAACAAAATTGCAATTACACTTTTAACTAGTGTAGTTATGCTTATATTTGAAGAACAGTAAAAAAAGAAAACATTTCCACATGTTTTAAAGTGATTGTTTTTCTTTTGTGCCAGGGCATTTGTGGTTCTAATCCAGCTTTGTCAACAGACGATAAGGTTGTGTTAATGCGGCCATTGTTGCTCCTACTCTGACCAGCGTTTCCATCGTAAGAAAAAGAGCCTGACCAGACCAGCCCAGTAAATCTTGTGTGCAACATGTTAGGCTGCTAATCCCACAGTAACTTGGCATGCAGCAGATGGTCAGTTATAAGAACATGTTGAGTTTAAACAAAAATAACTATATGCCTCTGTTCCCATTAAGATGTACTGTGATGGTTAAAGTCTGAGTGAGATTCAGAGCTGTAGCCCCCTGATTTTGAGGCCACCTCAGTCACATGATCAGTTGAAACATCCAATTTGGCTCATTCACTTTTCAACACAATGTAATGTCAGTTGGAGTCTGGCTCTAAGATGTGAGCTTTGTGATTTGAATGAAAACTTAATAACATTACTCAGTTACTATACACATGTAATAACACGTTAATGAATCCCCTTAAATGACACTGAACTAAGAGTAAATGAAAGCTTTAAAATGTAATATAATACAAGTTATTTCTAATAAACATTGTAGATAAAGGTTTTAGTCATTGCTTTTGAGAAATAATCTAATAGAAAATATGGACCTTGCCAACATTGCGGATACGAGCCACTTCAGGTAATCTTATTTGGATTGGTATTTACGATGCGGCCCGGTTTTTTAAATACACCTTCCTGAGCCCAGAATCTAAGCCATTAAATAACCAAACATCCAGTGGAAGGCCATTTAGCCTATTTAGACTTTGGTGTTTTTGAAAACATCTGAAACGGTGTGAAACTGGCGAATGCACCGTCAGCTGAGAATGATTCTTACATGCTGTTTGAAGGGCGAATCCGAAACCTGAAACTTATCTCGGAGATTAACATTTCTGTGTGTGCCACAGTGTCAGAAACGACTGTGTGATGTTGGAGATCTTTGAAGAAATAGCTGGATTATTCAGATTTAACATGATTAGAGTTGTGTTAATACAAATAACAACTCTTTAGCTACCAAAGGAAATAACTAGGTCACCATATACCATTTTCAACTTCCTGACAAGGACACATCTTCTCAAGTTGTTTTGAATTCTTCTGTAAATACTCTCTCTGGTGACCCATCAGCAGGAATGTGGTATCTCACATTCTATGATGTAAAACTGAGATGATCTTGCGGCCTCTCGGGGCCCCCATGCTCACTAGTGTCGCAGGAAGTTGTGGAGTCTAGTGTGAGTTGGTTTGTTTTGATATATTGTGCAAGCATTTTAACATCGGACCTGTTGCTGTTTAGTCTGTCAGTACGACAGATGACGGGGTTACGTTGGTGTAGTTAGCTCCTTTTCATAAGACAGTCGGCAACAAAAGAATATATATTATTATATGTTTCATGGAATTGCATTCTGTTGACAATGTCTATGTATTGATAAATAGGACAGTTTCATTGAAATGCTCCAGTTTTGCCTCTAGTTTTATGTGTGCAATCTAATTGTCAATATTTAATCAACCATTATTAGATGATCCATGTTGCGCAGCATGGTTCCCTGTGCACAGCGTGTTTGCACAGACGACACGCTACGACTTCCTGTACGTCTGCCTTTAATAAGAGTCTGTTGGTTTACTAGCTAACTGCACTCTCTTGGATGTGCACTGTGGCTATCGTCTGTTAAGTATTAGATTTTTTTACTAATGCTGTCAAAAGGATCGCGTTAACGGCGGTAATTATTTTTTTTAATGAATTGCGTTAAAATATTTAACGCATTTAACGCATGTGCAGAATGGCCCGCCCCATACATCCCACCAGTGGCAGCGCCAGGGTATGGCTGGGGTAGGCTACACCCATACCAAGAAATGGCTTAGACCCACCATGAAAAATGATGTTAAAGTAAGCAAAATAAAGTCTGCCAACTCGCGTGGAGTAAATTGCACAGACAGCAGTTAGTAAGATTGATTTCAGCAGCCACTTGTCTGGAAATACCGAAGACCAGAAACGGTTTTGAAAACTTTTGTCACGTAGTGATCGTCTTCTCAATAGAACATCTTTGATAATGTCTTCTGGCCAATCAGAATCAAGATAACGGCGTGGTGTTGTTGCAGGAAGTCCCGACGGAGAATACTTTTGCTGTAGTACCATGGATGTATAATAAGAACTGGATACAGCGTGGGAGGCGGGGCCTCATTCATTCCTATGAGAGCTGCTCATTAGCTCATGATGATAAAATGGCCCAACTTTTGAGAGAGTGAAACGTCACAGATTACCCAGCATGCCTGAGAAGTACCCGTATGTGCACTCATAGAGCATGCGCAACTTGAACCAAAATGCTCGTTCACATCAAGCACGTCAATTTGCGTACACGTAACAGCACCGCGCGTTCATGACGGCATGGTAATGGATGTTGTTATCATGGATTTGATATGAACGAGGCGGCAGCTAGCGGCTAGCTAGTAATGATGCTAATGTACACATCAATCGTTATGTACTTATATTACGCTGTAACAGGATCTAGTGATATCCAACAGAGCTTCATTTAGCATGAAATAATTATTGCACTGTATATATATATATATATATATATATATATATATATATAGCCTATTTATATACAGTGCAATAAGCTTCTTAGTGCAATACGAAGCTACAGGGACGTTAATAATGTCGGTAATATTAACTTTATTTAATACAACATTTAAGGTACAAGATTTAATCATACAGCCCATGTAGTATGATAATGAATTACAGCAAACATGTGCAATATATCCGTTATTACAGCTCCGTGGGATGGCAGTAAGACGATATGGATCCGTTCTTATCCATGGGTAAAGATAAACACAACTCACATTGGTTTCTCATACAGCATCTCTGTAAACTACGTGTATTCACTGAATTTCACTCTGCCTTTAACGGCTCGTTGTAGCTCCAATAGCTCCAGCCCCACCCTCCCTGTGAGCACAGTGTGCTCTGATTGGTCGGGACACGTAACATGAACGTGCCGGGCGGCGCGGTCCCGTGGGTTAGATGCGCGTTCATAATGCAGAGGGAAATAACTCTCAGAATAACGTTATTAGCACATTTTTACAACTTGAGGAACGAATGTTTTTAATAAGGGCTATACAAGTGTTCATACTTTGTAGTTTATTTAGTTTAAAAAAAAATATCCAACGAGTTACAGACCACTCTTTCCCCATGTAAGTCAATGGGAAAAAGTGTTTCCGGGCCTGGCAACCAAACGGAAGTGTAGTACTGCCGTTTGGCCAGCACGAATATTTTCATCTGAGTCCGGCGCAGTTCCTGGGGGCTTGTGTAGTACAGGGGTGCACATAACTGGTACGCAGGTTATGTGCGTAATCTGAAATGCGTACGTCACTTGTGTCACAAAGTGCATTTGCATACCGACGTACTTGTGAAGCTTTTCCAGAAGGCGGTTAGATCACCGGACAACCGAGTCGATCTCCGTGTGCACAGACAGGGCTGCTGTTAACGTCGGTCTGAACGGAATTGTGCCGAAACTACGCCAACCGGCTGCGGAGGGAGACTTTCCCCCCCCCCCCCTTCCTTCACTGGAGAACTGCGCTAAAACAGCTGATCACAACGTTCACACTCTCTGGTCACGAAGTACTCCACTAGCCACCCCCCGTCGACTTTCCTGAAGTACTCCCCCGTTGATAGAAATCAACACGTGATGAATTAAGACCCCACGGTTTGATGATTGATAGGTGTGTGGGCTGTCTTTCATTTTGACACGCAGAAAAATGTTATAATAAACATAGATACTGTATGTTAAATGGATATATCCGCCTTCTTTAATTTATCTTTCCATTCCCACAACAATATACATAAATAAATGGTATATTTTGGACATAGTTCGAATGGTGATTAATCATGATTAATTAATTTTTAAGCTGTGATTAATCTGATTAAAAATGTTAATCGTTTGACAGCATACTTGCCAACCTTGAGGCCTCAGAAATCAGGATAATTTCAAAACCACCGCGGGGGGGGCTGTGCTAGTGAATCGCCAGAGCTGTATTAGATTAACATGCTTATTGTAGTTGTAAGTGCACTGCCTTGCGGCCTGAAGCACCATCCTTGATGGAGCATATGTGTGGGCTGGAAAGGAGTGAGCAGAGGGTAGAGTTGTCGATTCTTGTTCTGTTTTCTGTGATATATCTTCCTCACACTCTCAGACTTTCAGTTGCACGCGCTACTAAAGAGACGTGCTACCATGGAAACATAACAATGGTGTAGCTGTATTAAAGTCCGAGTGGAAACAGTCCTGAGTAAATCTGATTTTGTCAGAAATCGGGAGAAATGCGGGAGAAATATGACTCCGGGAGAGGGCTCGAAAATCGGGAGGGTTGGCAAGTATGTTTGACAGCCCTAATTTTTACAAATATAAAATGGAAGCAACAGCTCAAATATATTTTTCTAAATAAAAAGAAAAGCCTAGTTCTCTGAATAGTTTTATTTAAGGAAAGGTGTTTTCATGGGATTGTTTAATAAAAACAAATAACTATAATAATACCAGCCTTATCTCTGAAGTAGGTTTGTTTTGAGTGATTTTATTTAAACTACTCATCATCTCCTTGGGGCCTTGTATCACATGATATACTGTTGATGAACAAATGAAATTACAAAGAATTCTGTTTAAAGATTTGATGTCATCTTTTTGCTTAATAAAATGTTGTTTACCTTTTTGTTTTCTCCCAGCAATGGCAGCCACCATTTGCCTGTGATGTTGACAGACTGAAATTCACACCACGGATACAAAGACTTAATGAATTGGAGGTAAATTCGTTTTTTTTAATAATAAATGATATCCACAAAATGCAAACAATTGAATTTGGAGTGAATAAAACAATTCTGTCATTTCAACAATGTTTCACTCGTTGTATTACATTTACCTTGTTTGGGAATGTACAAACAATATACAGCTTATACATATCTTGTAAATATTTGTTATGCTGTATAGATTGTGTGTTGTCCTTGTTGAGAACTAAATAAGAACATGTTCAATACGCAATCTTAACTTTTCTTTTTCTCTGCTTTTAGGCTCAGACCAGAGTAAAGCTCAACTTCCTGGATCAAATAGCGAAGTTCTGGGAGCTTCAAGGATGCACCCTGAAAATCCCTCATGTGGAGAGAAAGATTTTGGATCTTTACCAGCTGAATAGGGTGCGTGAAAAGTTGAGCTGGCTTTGAAATCAGGACTCTATAAAGGTGTATTTGTGTATGCAATCACAATGAAGTGTGTGTTTACATGTGGATATAAAACCACCTCTCCCGCATGGAGACTAAATGGGTCATTTCTCTTTTTTTCATAGCTGGTAAATGAGGAGGGAGGCTTCGATGCCGTGTGCAGAGAGCGGCGCTGGACTAAGATATCCGTCAAGATGGGCTTTGCTCCGGGGAAGGCTATCGGCTCTCACCTGCGGGCCCACTATGAGAGGATCCTCTACCCATACAACCTGTTCCAGACTGGAGACAATCAGCCTGTACGTCCCATATCTCTAACTATTCATTCCTAACTCTTTCTCTACCAGCTCAATACACTCAGTATTGGTAAAGTCGACATAATTATACAACATTTCAATCAATCTAGACTAGCCGAAACATCAACAAGATTGTGCACCCAAAGCACAGCTATGGGGGAAAATATTGTAGTTGTTTTAAATTTTTTAAACTACATGTTATTCTTGTTTTATTTCATTAACATTGATATTTTAAAATAGTTGTCTTATCTTAGTCATGGAAAATAAGAAATATCACAAATATATTTGGTCATAGTTTTTACAACACTGTTTCACAAAGATGCTCTACACTTCCACATTTCTTGCTTAATGAGGTGTATTTAAGGAAATGGTGGGAGGATATCATATTGATACCTATTATATGTTTCTCAGTGTGCAATTTGTTTTTTCGTTGACCTTAACAGCAGGTTGAAAGAAGTTTCACATCAACCTTTTCCTCCTTGCAGAGAGCCACCCTGACCAACGACACTAAGGATAAGGAGTACACCCCTCACGACCTGCCGCAGCGGCAGTCGGTGCAGCCCCAGGAGACCTGCAGCATCGCTCGCAGAGCCAAACGCATGAAATCAGAAGTGAGTCCCATCTCTCTCTGACACTGTAACTTATGCCGTGCATATAATAGTATGTGTATGATATGCAAATGTGTGTACATCTAGATGTTTAGGCAAATTTCATATTCAAATGCAACCTACACACGGGTAGGCTTTGACAGACAACCATCTGTTTTGAACTTTAATAGTCAAACCTCTTGTTTTCACACCAGTTGTATAGTCTAAAATAGTATCCCTCATATTTTAAGGATCCTGTAATCAGTGCAAATGTTGTTCTCTCTGTCTGTGTTTCTCTCTGACTCTCACTGTGACTCCGACAGAGAGGCTGTGTGAAAACCGAACCAGGGGAAGTTTGTGAGAATCGTCCAAATCTCAGGAGGAGGATGGGAACATATGCTGGCAAACATGAACCTGGTGAGAACAAAGCAAGCTGTAATGCTCGGTGTATAGAGGAAAAGAGGTTATTTCTGACAGACTGTGTGGGAGAATCTTAAAGCCTTCATTAATCCGTCCTCTGTGTTTCAGTGCGGATGACAGTCCCTGAGGTGAAACGGGAGCCCATTAAATATGAGGATCCAACAGTTTATGGAGAAACTGTATTAGACCAGAAACCTCCTTCCAGTAAAGTAAGTGCATCGTTTTGCATTTAAGTGTTAGCTTACACTCTGACAAATGTGTTGCACTCTGCTGTAAAGCAAACGCATCAAATGCAATTGCACATCACACAATTAAAGCTTTGATCTCAATTGTGCGGTCTCCTCAGGTGGACCAGTACATGTGCATGGTTTGTGGCAACGATACTGCTGAGGACCGGCTGCTGCTGTGTGACGGCTGCGATGACAGCTATCACATCTTCTGTCTGATCCCCCCCCTCCACGACGTTCCCAAAGGAGACTGGCGATGCCCCAAGTGCTTGGCTCAGGTGAGCTGCAGCGCAGGGGGAGCTCAATCCTGGCAGAGATGCTCCTAATTGGAACCAAGAGAATAATCATCTGCGAGTTCTTCCTGAATTGTACACAACTCTCGAGTGTTTTTATGTTTTCCAGTTGTCTGTAAGCCCTGTTCTTGTGAAGGTGATATCGCAGGAACATCTGGAGGGATTTCTCTCATATTTGGGCTCAAGGAAGAACTGATTAGACTTTAGTGGATAAATGTCCGCGCACATTAGTGATCTCACATAATACAATTGTGGCCATAACTCATTTGTTCATATTGTGACAATTTAAAATAAATGACTAACTGTGATGACATTTTGAAAAGACAAGGATGTGAACTGACTGTTTGGCGAAGGCATACCACCATAATGCAGTAGTTATAGTTTAACTTTATTTTTCATCTTCTTCTTCTTCTTCTTTTCTTTTTCAGGAATGTGGCAAGCCTGCTGTCGCTTTTGGCTTCGAGCAGGCCAGCAGGAGCTACACCCTCCAGTCTTTTGGAGACATGGCAGATTCCTTCAAGTCGGATTATTTCAACATGCCAGTTCATGTGAGTTTGCATCACTGGTTAATTCATATCCAATTGATTTAAATTCTTCTAGTAATTTATAAGGCAGATTGCGGGAGGTCTTTGAGGGAAAAAAGTCCTCAATTCTCTGTTTCTTCTGTTTTTATGACTTTTTTTTTATCTTACACAAGAATGCTTTGATAAGACAGAGAGTCCTGTTTGTCTTATCTGATGTTGCTCCCCCTTCTCTCTCAAACACACACACACACACACACACACACACACACACACACACACACACACACACACACACACACACCCTGTGAACAACCCTAACCTAACCCTAGGGGAGATAAGTCAGTGAGCAACAAGTTTAAGTCGATTATTTTTCCAGCCAAACTCCTGAATACAACACCAAACTCTTAAAGTTCAACATAAGATGAAAAACATTCAGACTGCTTGGTGAAAAAGATGACATTCTTGTCATGAGCCCCATCAGATGTATTGCAGCGATAACACAGGAACACTTCTCTTGATGTCTCTGATCTTGTGATGAGCTCTGGTTTCTGGACTAGTTCTCACTACCACACCATGTCTCCCGGTGTGTTTCAGATGGTTCCCACTGAGCTGGTGGAGAAGGAGTTCTGGCGTCTAGTCAGCACCATCGAGGACGATGTGACTGTGGAGTACGGAGCAGACATCGCCTCCAAGGAGTTTGGGAGTGGTTTCCCTTTGACCACCAGCCATTTCGAAGTCTCTCCTGAGGATAAGGTACAATCTGTCTGCTGCTATAGGCATAATGTATACTAAGTGTTTTTAGGTCAGAAAATATTAACGGTTCATATTTTGGTGTCTTTAACTAAATTCATTGAACATTACTGGAAATGAAAAACATATCATTATGAACATCGTTATTGGGTTATAAAGGGGAACGTTTGTATAAAATAGACATGCCTATCCCCGATCAATGGTTGACTGTAACTGTAACATTTGTAAATTAATAATAATAAAATTATGATATATTTATATAGGTTAAGCTTCTTTTGGTACTTTAACTATATTTGGTTCTAATACCTTTTGTACTTTTACTTTAGTAAGTTTTGAAATGGACTACTTAAACTTCTGATTGAGTATTTTTGAATGGAAGACAATGATTGGAATATTTCTCCAACACTGCCTACACAAATATTGATAATCAAGGCAAAAATAACATTGGAATGTTGTTGGGTTTTTCTTGTCTGGTTGCTGGGAAACGTAACAACAATATGACCAGTTTTACCAGTGTAATCACTCTAATGCCCGCTGGAGAAAGCTTTATTTAAATAAGAATTGAAGTGGATATTGAGACCTGTGTGTGACCTGCAGCATTACCTGAGCAGCGGCTGGAACCTGAACAACATGCCGGTGCTGGATTCCTCCGTGCTGACTCACATTACAGCCGACATCTGTGGCATGAAGTTGCCCTGGCTGTATGTGGGCATGTGCTTCTCCTCCTTCTGCTGGCACATCGAGGACCACTGGAGCTACTCAATCAACTACCTCCACTGGTAGAGTGCACTCTATTGTCATTTTAACGTAGAAGTTCTCTCTTGGGGAGTAATTTGATACTTTAACAATAAATTCAGTTGTGTAGATTTAATAATTCTTCCAATAAATGTGTGTGTCTATGCTTTTGAACTGTTTTTACTGAATGTTTTGACCGTATTTGCAGGGGGGAGCCGAAGACGTGGTATGGGGCTCCAGGTTACGCCGCAGAGCACCTGGAGTCTGTCATGAAGAACCTGGCACCGGAGCTGTTTGAGTCGCAGCCCGACCTCCTTCACCAGCTGGTCACCATCATGAACCCCAACACGCTGATGAACAACGGCGTCCCGGTAACCTGCTCTCACTCTCACTCGTTTATTATTCATAGCATTTAACTGTCTGAAACAAAGCAAGATCTTTACCTACTAAGTGTATTGACGGTTACTATAAACCAAATATAATGCTCCTCTTGTATCAACAATGTAAATATGTTGCAATGTCTTACCACTTGTTATTAAAATCTTATATTAATACATTATCAAATCAAACTACCGTATAGAGGTTATAGGATTCAACGTGGTCTCTGTTTCATCCTAAATACTAAGGATAATTGAAACACGTGGACTGTCAAACCCTTACGTCTTTTCTTTTCTTGCTGTTCCCATTACTAGATCTATCGCACAAACCAATGTGCAGGAGAGTTTGTCATCACTTTCCCCAGAGCTTACCACAGTGGGTTCAACCAGGGCTTCAACTTCGCTGAAGCTGTTAACTTCTGCACCAATGACTGGGTAAAAAAACTCACTGGAAAAAGATTTCTCTGTTTTCACAATATCAGATATTTTGTTTATACTTCTGCAATTGATTAATAATAATAGTTAATTAATATTGAATGCTTTTAGTTTTTTTTTAAAGAAATATGTCGGATTGAAAACCAAAGTGGTGAAAAAGCTGTAAATTGTTGATTTTATTTGTGTAGCACCTTCTCTGTCAAGATCAGTGTTGTGCTAGTTACTGGTTTTCAGTAACTAGTTACCATTACTAGTTACTTCATGTCAAAAGTAACTCAGTTACTTTACTAGTTACTTACACCCAAAAGTAATGCGTTACTGTGAAAAGTAATGTTTTCGTTACTTGCAAAAAATGTCTCCCATTAATGCCCTTATAGCCTTCATTTCAGTACTGTTATTGCATTGGAGAATAATACAATCTGTTGATCAACTTGACATGCATTATATGCAATCTGGATTGCATCGATATTAGCTGGCTTTCCATTTTTATATATTCTTTCTCCAGGTAGTTGGAAAAAGTTTTCCGTCCCATATACCGTGTGCCGCCCGGACATGCTATCATGCTAACTAGCTCCCTGAAAGCGGGTGACTCCACTGTAGCAATAGCCTGCATGTGTTCTACAACATACCGTGCAATGGCTTTATCGACTTTTCCCTGGCCAGCAGTCCCTCGGTTAAAATCCAGCCGCTGTTGTTTAGGTGGAGGTGGAGTGGCGTCGGCTGAGTCTCTGTGGTCTTAGCTACTAGCTTCGTCCCAGCATGTTGTTTTTGCATTTGTTTTAAGATATTTGAATTACTGGTTTGGGCAGTAGATAGGATCTTTGACCCGCCAAGACACAACTTACATTTAACTAAAACGTTCTTTTCTTTGTGCTCGACAAAAGTGAAATAGTGAGAATATCTCCAGGTGGAGAAACTAGACTTGAGCTCCGCCGCCGCCATGATAGTCTTGTTAGTAAACAACACAAACACGCCCACAGCCCGTCTCCGCATGTGACACAGGAAGTATCTAAGTACATTTACTCAAGTACTTAAGTACAGTTCTCATCTCTGTTCGCCTGGCTGTTGACTATATAAAAAAACTAACGGAGTAACGCACCATGTAGTAACGGCAACTGAGTTACTGAATTTAAAAAGTAATGCGTTAGAGTACTAGTTACTGCCAAAAATAACGGCGTTACAGTAACGCGTTACTTGTAACGCGTTAGTCCCAACACTGGTCAAGATGCAGCCTAAAGGGCTTGAAATAACAGTATTACAAACTATTTTATAAACACAGATCATATTGGATAACCATCAGATTTTGAAGTTCAGACTAAACTCACTGGTCTCTATATGTCCTGACAGATGCCCATCGGCCGCGAGTGTGTGTCTCACTATCGCGACCTGAGCAGGTACTGCGTCTTCTCGCATGACGAGATGGTTTGTAACATGGCGTGCAAAGCAGACACGATGGATGTGGAGCTGGCGTCAGCGGTGCAGAAGGAGATGACCGTGATGGTCCGAGAGGAAGAACAACTCAGAGGGAAGATTGACAAGATGGTAAGAAGTTTATTTCTATGTCCACCCATTCTTACAGTTGAAAATAGATATTCAAAAGGATCCATTCGAGAAAGCCTTACACTTCTGAAGGAGATTTCCTTTAGTCTGCACAGCTGTCTCATGTAGTTCCTCTGTGTGCTCTGCAGCTCTAATGACTGTGATCTGTTTTCCCCAGGGTGTGGTGCAATCTCAACAGGTGGATTATGAAGTGCTCCCAGACGAGGAGCGGCAGTGCTGCAAGTGTCGGACCACCTGCTACCTGTCTGGCATCACCTGTGCCTGCAGTCCTGGCAAGATGGTCTGTCTGCACCACGCCCGGCACCTCTGCGGCTGTCCTCATAGCAACATGATACTCCAGTGAGTCTCCAGTAACCACAACAACTAAACACACCGCTGCTGAATTTATCTTGTGTGTGTTATTACTACTTTTATGAATTATCTGCATCAATTAAAGCTAAGTCTTGAATGCTAAATGCTACTTGTTTCAGGTTATTTCCAAATGTATTCCTTAAAGTAACTTTTGTTTTGTTCTTTTCTGTACATTTAAATGAATTAATTCAGGAAAAACAATCGAACCGAATAACAGTTGCTTTATATTTCTGACAATTGTTCTTAAATAAATCATCAACCTCAACAATATTAAGAAAATCCAACTTGAAATGGGCAGCTTTGCTGAGATGGTGTTGTTAAAGGGTCAAATAATGTAACTTTAAACTGAGGCACTTACTATGTATCAGCAAAAACTAGCCAGACTTTGAATGTTTGTCTGCAATGTCAATTATTCTATCACTGATTAAAGAGAAAACAATTGTTCCATGAAACCAAATGGGCATTTTTATTACACTTTAATCTAAATATAAGATTTAAAACAACCTTATCCCGATAGCTCTTACAGTACAAATTGTGTTTTCTAAATCATGTTTTGTCTTTCCGTGCAGTTACAAGTTCAAAATGGATGAGCTGTACTCTATGATGGCATCAGTGACGCAGCGCGCAGAGTCCTATAAAGAGTGGCTCTGTAGTGTGCAGGACATCCTGGAGAACAAAGGAGACAAGAAAAGAGGTAAGACAAAGTATTAAATATTCCGTTATACAAAACTCAGTTATCCCGAGTATATCCATCTAATTTTAAAGGTATTATTGTCTACATTTCCAATTCAAAATGTCTAAAAACTACATGACCTATATTATATATATTTGTAGAATTGTGTATTAAAATGATCTCAAATGCTTCACACCATTGTATTAAACCTACTGTGAGCCAGCCACGCTGTATTATATGACTGCACCTTATATTTTATATTATTTAAAAGTTTGTATTGCTTTCTGGTTAGGTTTGGAAGAGCTTCACGGCCTGGTGGAGCAGGCAGAGACGAAGGCGTTCCCACAGATCAGCCTCGTGGATCAGCTGCGTGTCATCGCCTCAGAAGCTGATAAAGTTGCTGCGATGGCCCAACAGCTTCTCAATGGAAAGAGACAGACAAGGTGCCACATTGAGAGGCTTGACATTCTTTTCATAATGCATCACATCCACATTGTTTAATCGAATATTGATGAACCAGTAGAGTGATCTTTTTAAGTTAAGATACTTCTCTGTCTTTGTGTTTTTAAATGACTTTATAATTGTAAATACTCTATCCAATCATTGTATGAGGTTTTCGGTGTTATTTTACTGTATTTTAAGGTTCCACCATTGTAGTTTGAGGATATTATGTTTCAGCTGTTCAAATCAAATCAAATCAAGTTTTATTTATATAGCACATTTATAAACGATTTTTGGTCGAGCCAAAGTGCTGTACATAAAATAAAAATAGCCTACAGTAGAGACACTTTACAGCAAATACAACAGCACAGATTGTTCGGAATATCAGTATGACAATATGACACCCTCTGTCCTTAGACCCTCACATCGTACAAGGAAAAACTTCCAGAGAAAACCCACAGTTTAAGGGGAAAAAATGGGAGAAACCTCAGGGAGAGCAACAGAGGAGGGATCCCTCTCCCAGGACGGACAGACGTGCAATAGATGCCGTGTGTAAATCGAAGAGATAATACATTTTACAGCATATAGACCGAATGTTAGGAAATGTATGTGTCTGTAATAAGAAGATGAATCCACGAGGATGTCAGCTACAATCCTGTGGAAGCCATCAGGGAAGCAGCATGACGAGACCCAAGGCAGGACCGCAGAGACAGGTTCAGCCACGACCCGAAGTCCACGACTTAATCCAGAACTCAGGATAGAGGATCCAGGACACAGGACTACAGCAAGAGGATCAGCCTCGACTCCGGATCCCGGCGTAGATATAGATGCAAAACAAGAACAAATATTTGGCTGGGTTAATCGGAACAAGAGAATACACAGACACAGACAGAGAGGGAAAAGGTCATTGGATAAAAGTTATTCTTGATAACCCTCTAGAAAGATCTCATGAACTTCCCCACTCAATCTATCAAGACCCGAGCAGTTCTATTAGATATAGGATAAGAAACAGAGATAGGGAGCACAACAACCTATCTCTTCGTCAGATGCACTCCTCCGCGTATCTAAGCGACTCTGTACCTCGTTACCCTCTACAAGGCCATAGACCAGCAGAGGGAAAATGGGGGGTGGGTAAGGGTAAGGGTTTTTTAGAATTAACCGCAAGGGTCTAAAGGGAAAAAATATGAAATATAAGGTACTATATTTTAAGTAATCCTATATTCCTATATTTGAATAATGTATAAACTATTTTAAAAATACTTTATGAAATCCTATGTTATGTTGAAGATAATCATGTCATTTTGATGATGGTTTTATAGATTTGTTGAACTTTTTTTCTTTTTTTATGTCAGGTATCGTTCAGGAGGAGGAAAGTCTCAAAGCCAAAACGAGTTGACTGTTGAGGAGCTGAGGTCTTTTGTCCGACAGTTCGAAAGCCTGCCCTGCAACATCCGACAGGCTCCTTTACTGAAGGTGAGTAAACTTGGATTGTGTTTACATGGCTGCCTGAATCTTAAATATCAATGATGTTGAATTGAGGCTAGTCTAAGCAGTCATATATCCGTCTCTGATGCCTCTTGAATGTGACTTCCAGGACCTGTTGACCCGGGTGGATGACTTCCAGCAGCGCAGCGAGGGTCTCCTCTCTGATGAGGCTCCCAGCCCGGCGGAGCTGCAGGACCTGCTGGACGTGAGCCTGGGCCTGGACGTGGAGCTGCCCCAGCTGCCCCTCCTCAGGGAGAGGCTGGAGCAGGCCCGCTGGCTGGAGGCCGTGCAGACAGCCAGCAGCCGGACAGAAAGCCTCTGCCTGGACACCATGAGGAGGCTGATAGACCAGGGGGTGGGCCTGGCCCCTCACAGCTCCGTGGAGAGAGCCATGGCTCGTCTGCAGGAGCTGCTGACCGTGTCGGAGCAGTGGGAGGAGCGGGTGCTCGGCCTCATGGAAGCCAGGTGAGAACAAAGAGGGGGACCGGGTGAAGCCCATAAACGTTGTGAAAATAGCAAAATAAGACAAATTAAAACCAGCACCGATTCAAACATTTTCACACACTTATATTGGTTATTAAGTGACAATAAGAGGAACTTGGAGTTGCTAAATGTTGTTTCCGATTGACTTAAAGGGGACCTATCATGCAAAATGCACTTTGTGATGTCTTTTATACATAAATATGTGTCCCCGGTGCGTCGGGGAACTCACGCAGCGTCAGAAAATAAAACCCTCTCTCTTTTCCTCCGTACCCAAATCTTTTAAAAACAGGGGTACAACGAGCAGATACAGATTTGCTGCCGATCTGACGTCAAATCGGCAGCGGACCCACAGAAAGTTGCTATCAGAAACAATGCCTGACGTGTTTTGGACGTAATCTTGTCTTTGTTTACATTAGCAAGCATCGCTAACACTCAGAGCTAACCTGTACTGGAGAGCACATGTGTTTTTAAAAAGCAGGAAATAAAAAAAGGAACTCACCTTGTGATAAACCCGCAAGTGAAAAAGCATTTGAGCTCCATACTGTTTCAGAAATAATCTTTGATGTGGTTTAGAACAGGATGGCCTTTTATCACAGCAGAATTTAACTTTATCTCTGGTAGAATTCTGATCAGGCATTAGCTCCGCCTCCTTTTTTTTTCTCAAGCTAAGGACCCAAAATCCGCGTTTCTCTAACAGGGCTGCAAAAGAGGGGTATGAGAGCAGTATGAGGCATGGCTACAATGGGTGAACTGTTTGGTATTTTAAGCAAAAAACTTCACAGACATGTTTTGTATAGGTATGGCCCTACAATATATGTTTCCAATGTAGCATAATAGGCCCACTTTAAAATAATGGCATCAGACCTCAAGTGAAACATGAAGTAAGCTTTAATGCGGTGAATTAAAGAGCATCATGGTTGTGACAGTGCTTGACCCACACAGACATTTTGTATGGAACCAGACTCGGGCATAGCAAGAAAGCAACTCATATGATCTGTTACTTGATCTGTATACAAACCCTTAAAAGATGCCCTTTTTTTAACTAAGAATCAAAACTGCAACACAGAAGAGAAATGATGTGACACTCGAACATTAGATATTGTAAAGAACCTGAACATGTGCTCATGTCTCTTCACAGACCATGTCACAGCTTAGAAACGCTCGAGGATGCCCTACAAGAAGTAGAAAACATCCCTGCGTATCTGCCCAACTGTCTGCAGCTGAAGGACGTCGTCACCAAGGCCAGGAAATGGCTCAATGAAGCCGAAGCACTTCAGGTAAAATATACTTCAAAATACCCTTCACTCATAAATGGGTGGTGAGGCCAAACTGAAAAGGTAGAGTAGAGAACTTTGGAAGCAAACCCATGTTAAACAAAATATAAATTATAGCAGTATTATAAGATAATTTACAAATGTGCCTTTGGATGCCCGTTGAACTTGATCAGTGCTGAATGTACTCAGAACTTGGCCTGAGATGGTTGAGTTTGGATCATAAATCTTATGTGTGCACGCTAACAGCTCGGGGGTCGTATTCCTGTGGTGGACAGCCTCTCTGAGCTGCTCCTCCGAGCGGAGGGCATCCCAGCGAGGCTCAACCCGCTGAGTCGGCTGGAGGCCCTCGTCACTGACGTTCAGACCTGGAAGGAGAGCGCAGCCAAGACATTCCTACTGAAGAACTCGCCTTTCTCTCTCCTTGAGGTATAAACAGATATTAATATTTTTTCTCATTTCAAATCTGTGTCCCAATTCTAACAGGACTAATTAATATTGTATGCTTTTATGTTTCCAGGTGCTTTGTCCGAGGTGTGATGTAGGAACTGTACATCCAAAGTCGAGGACAAAAAAAGTAGCAAAAGAAGCTACACCGATCAGTAAAAAATCTTCAACAAAACTGGAGTCCCTTTGTGACGTGGAGAGAGCGCTCTGTGAGAGCAAGGACTCCGCCTCTGCTGTGAGTGGAGCTGTCGTTGTTCTCAGTACAGCTGTGTGACTGTTAGATTAACTGAATATTAAGATTTCTCATAATAAATGCAACTGCATTATGATACTAACTATACCCTTTTGTGTTAAAAGTGTTCTAAATTTGCAAGAAACCTTACCATCTTAAAATTCGTACTCTATTATGCTGATAAAAGGTGACTTGAACTGCAAGAAGTTCAGGTGACCTAGAGTCTGCTCATTGAAAAGCCTACCACACTTCAGTTAGACTTTCACACTTAATACAGCGGCTTAAATGATTGTATTAATCCAAAATGACCCTAAATGACCTTATATGGGATATTTCTCTCTGGGGTAGAGAGTTTAAAGCTTAATGTTACCGGTTCAATCCCTTCCCCCTCCTCTCTCTCTAGTACTATTCAATTCAAGCTGTGAAGATAAGATTTGAGTCTAATATTTATAGTAATAAAAAAAAAAGACTGAGAAAGTAGTGACAAAACTGTCCTGTTTTGCTGCCGGTCAGACAACATCTACTGCCCCCAAAAACGACCAAACAGCCTAAGGGGCGAGCAGTCACTTTTTGTTACCATTATGCCCACCACATAGCAACGAAGGGCAGGAGGGAGGGATTCCTCAGAAGTGAGCAGTTAAACATGATTGTTTTTATTTTAAATAATTGAAACTAATCCAACACAGTGTGGTGATATAACCTTGAGAGCCTTTCCTTATTTTCTCAGTTTCATATTTTATTACACTGAATATCTTTGGGTTGGAGACTTGCCAACAAGATATTTAAAGATATGTATAGTCTTTGAGTAAATGGGATGGAGATTTTTTTACTATTTTATGGCCTTTTTATGCGAATAATCTTAAAGATAACTTGAAAATCAATCGTTGATGAATGATATTGTTGGTTGTGGTCTAGTCATGAGAGTGTAATGTGACATAAGTGATTTGTTTTAATGAGTTGCCTTGGCTTTCTTGACAGATGGCCACTCTTGCTGATGTTCGCCAGAGGGAGATGGAGATCTTGTTGTCTCTGCGTACTTCCAATGAGTTCAAGTTCGTTCCTGCTGAAAACTGTAGTGCACTTAGTGTTTGCATCTGCCAAAAGGCCCCTTCAGGTGCCATGATGCAGTGTGAGCTTTGTCGAGAAGTTTTCCACTGCGGCTGCGTCACAACACCCCCCGACCTCGAGTACGGCCAGGCCTGGCTCTGCCCGCTCTGCCAGCGGTCGAGGAAACCCCCGCTGGACAAAGTGCTGCCGCTGCTGTCCTCGCTGCAGAGGATCCGGGTCCGGCTGCCAGAAGGGGACGCCCTGCGCTTCCTCATCGAGAGGACGGTGCGATGGCAGCACCGAGTTCAGCAGGCCTGCACCGAGGGGGCGCTGGAGAAAGTGTCTAAGACGGTCAGTACTCTTATATTTGAATAGAAGAATGTCTTGATTGTTGTTGATTATATAATTCAGCATCAGAGTAGAAGTGGAAACTTTATGATATTTTTGGGGTGTATACATTTTGCAATATGCTGAATATTGTAATAACATGGAGATTCATTCAATGTTCAACCGCCAAATGTGCAGTTTGTCAACGTCTGCTTTTTTAATAAGATATTGTTTTTGTTGCGTTTCGGATTAGTTTCTGTGGTCTCCATCTTTGTTTTGACTTCCTGCCTATCCAGCTGACCTCATCTGAAAAGACTAGCACCTAGTTGACTAAAAAAAGCAATTATAATTAAAGAGATTCATTTGTATTTGCAAACCATATCCTTCACATAATAAAATATATACTTGGCGTTCGTTTAATGTTACAATATTGCCAAACTATGTTATATTGATTTTCCCCCACCTCTTCTTCAGAGGGTCTGTTTGATTTATTAATGACATCACCATGCAGACACACCGGTCACACCTCACTGTCGGCATACTAAAGATGATTGTTTTGTGTTTCAGGGGAGAGTTGGACCTGCACTATCTTCACATCTGACTCAGGAAATAAACGGTTCATTTCTCCACACGGATCACCAGTCTGTCCCACTCCAGGGTCAGTGTTGAAGCTTCAAGCCTTTTCCATCTTTGTATACTTAAATTATTTTGTTAATTTCACCTCTAAACTCTCCGACCTTTGTCACAGGTCTTGGTCCGGAGCTGGAGGAGCTGATGGTGGAGGGATTCCTGCTGCAGGTCACTCTGCCTGAAACCGAGCAGCTGTACAGATACCTGCTGTACAAACTGGCCCCCCCGCCCTCACACAGCTCCCCCTGTGGGACCAACACAGAACCGGACCAACCGCCTCAGAGAGGGAGCCCCCAACACAACAAGGTAATGACCAAACACAGCAGAATTAGTTGTTCTGAATCACACGGTAGTTTTTGTGATATTTATCCGGCTGAGACCTGGATTAAAAAAGGTTTTTTTATATTTTGATTTGATTAGTTATATATATATTTTTTATTTCCCTATATATTTCTAATTAAATTGTTCTCGTTAAAGGAAAATCTGACAGCTCAGTATCTCGCTCTTCTTCAAAATCCTGACCGCGTTACTCAGTGCTCAGTTCCCTAAAGAGGACTATGGTTAATAGTTATTATTACTGGAAAAAGAGAAAGACCAAAACCCACTGTCTGCCGCAAATCACATGGCTAAAATACACTTTAGCATATATAACATAGTAAAGACTCAACAATTTAAATAAATAATAATAATAATAAATAAGAACATCTCTACTAAGAACAGAAACGATATATCTTTCTTCATTAAATAGACCCCCCCCCCCCACTGTATTAAAAAGGCAGAAGATGTGTTCTGTTGGCCCCTTACCTATGTGTGTTGCTCTACAAATTATAAAAACAAACAACTGCATGCATTGTGTTTAAATGCATTGTGTTTAAATGCAGGCCTTAGTGTTGTTCAGAGTCTCATCATTTTTATGTTTTCACACAGAATGGAGTTTCTAGTGTAAAAAAGGAGCTGTTGAACGGTCAGAACAAAAGGACCAAGCGACGTAAGGAGAGCTCCGACTCGCAGCACAGCGAGAAGGCCAAGAAGTTCCGTAAAAAGAAATCCAAGAAGATCAAAGAAAGGAGCGAAGAGAAGAGCGACGAGAGGAGTGAAGAGAGGAGTGTAGAGAGGAGCGACGAGAGGAGCGAAGAAACCAAGCGAACGTGTTCTCCGTCACACACGGTGTCCGACCACGGTGCTTCAGACTCGGATGAGGACTTCTCGCTGTGCGCTGCACCGTGGTGCAGAGAGCCAGAGGGAGACGAGGTTTGTTTTATTTCAGTCAGCTACATATACTACAAGCACGTAGACCTGTCACAAGTTTATGGTATTGACTTATTGTACAATATATAAACATGACCGTGATCATTTTTGCTGACCTTAATATTGCCTGTTGTGGTAACATGTGTGTTTTCTTACATATGAGTCATTATTTAGGCCAACATGATGCCGTATAAAGAGCAGGGTTTTCCTTCCATGATATGACTTGGGCATTGCGCGGACATTGCGTTTTTGGCATAAAATCTTCTAAAAGTGACAATGTTGTTTATCTCAATGATGTGTCTGACAATATATTGTACAACAACTGTATCTATTGTGACCGGCCTACATACATACTACTACCACATTAATGGTCGGTGTCTTTAACTGATTTATGTTGTTGTTTTGTTGATGTTTTTTTCTCATTATTTTGCTTTTAGGTGAACTGGGTCCAGTGTGACGGCAACTGCAATCAGTGGTTCCACCAGGTTTGTGTTGGAGTTTCTGCTGACCGAGCAGAGAAAGAGGACTATGTTTGCATAAGCTGCACACAGCCAGAGTTCGACAGAGGGAAATGAAGACCAAAAAGTGACTTTGAAGGATCAGCAGCTTTTGTTGCAAGCCGCAGCACTTAACGTGCACACCTGAACTCTGTGTGCTCCTGTTGCTTCTCCCCCTTTACCTTCTGGCTTGCCCTTTAATGAACTTAGTGAACCTGGTGCTATTTACTGTTTTTATTTCCTCCAGAGTTACAAAAGACTTCTGTCACTGTTTTTCTTCACATGGCTGATTTTTCAGCCAATCAACTAATCCTTTCTGCAACTTTCCAAGACTCGATGCAGATGTACAAAACAGCAAAATGTTTCAACAGCGCAGGGATTTTTCAACCAAAAACAAAATGACAATTTGACGTCACATTTTAGAACTGCTTTTTTTATTTTACATACATCTGAACAATGTGAAACTTATCTTTCTCTTGTAGAGTAAATATTATTTATCCAAGCAATAACTGAACTGATGAATTGAGGTTCAGTTTTCACCAGAGGTATATTTGTGCTCAGAAATTCTTTGAGAGAATGCCTTCTTGAAGCAAAAACCCTGAAGAATTCACTTTATGAATCCTATGATATTACACAGTTCAATTTTAAATGTGTGAACAGAACTTGTATCAGAAACCAGAGCATCTGTTTGTCTGAGATTGTTTATATAATACTTTCAAAAGTAAGCACCTAATATTTGCCCATATCCCTTAACAAATCATTGACTTCACCATAAAGTCTGGTTCCCTATTGCGCTGTCTGCAGAGGGAAACAAGAGTCTTGTCGCCGGGTGAGCCTGCGATTATGTTCACAAAATAATAATGAACTGTCCGACATCAAAGGAATGTACATTTTGTTTTAGGGTGGATTTTCCCTTTTATGGTTTAGATGAAAATATTGTGTTGACTTAGATTTAACACACTGTGTGATTAATTGCCACGGGTATATGACCTTTTTCTGCTCCTTTCGGTAAATAATATAATTAATATGTTGCAGTTTGCATTATAAAATTAAAAAAATATTTGTTCCCATATGCCTGGACTCGTTCATCGCCTTGAATGTCTTCAAATGTGAATGTAAAATGTTTTGCCTGCCGGAGATCTTTGTGATTTGATTTTTAATACCTCTGAGAAACTCACAGTATCTTTTTAAAATGGAAAATGCTTTACTTCAGGACCTTAAAACAAAAGCAGGAAACAACTGTGTCTGTAACTTGTGTGTATGAGGAAATACATGTTGTCTTTATCAGTTAATACCATTGGGAAAAACACATGATTTAAAAAAACAAACACATTTTTGACAAAACATACTCATAATAAAATATAAAACAATGCATTCTATAAGGTGTTTATATAGATACAAATACAATATATTTATTGTTATGCTTTCCATCGCATAAAACCAGTAAAACTCACTTTTAAAGACACCATGTGCAGTTTTCTTAAACAGACAAAAATATGTCTACATTGTAGGCGTTATCAAGGTGTATTGTACATATTGTGTGTGTTGTTTTGTAATTGTATACATACTACTGGTACCTGTAAATGGAAAAAGAAACACAGCACTTCACATTGAAGAAAATGCCTCGACCCTATGCAAAAAATATAATCCTCCTACTTTACTTTACTTACTTTTATGCCTAGTCCTAATACACTGTTTAATGTCTAAACTGTACACTTTTGGCTTTAATAATGTATGGTTGTATTCTTCTGTTTTTGTTTTGATCCTGATTTAAAGGTTTGCCCTAACAAGTTGTGGATAGTTCATGTGAAATTGTTTTATATAAACAAAAGCGTTTAGCCTGAGGTGCCTTACAGACTGAACTCAGGGAATTAAACAGTGTACAGCAGGGGGCGTGGCCTGTTGCTCACTCACTCGCCATTTTCCTCCTGTTGTTGTTAGCTTGCTAGCTAAACAAGCTAGCATCATCCACGGTAAAATAAAGTCTGGAATAATTTACAGCTGGGTTATTGTAGCTAGTTAAACGCTACTTCTCCCCCGCCAGCATGGACGAGGAATACTACAGCGGTGGCGGCCGAGACTGGGAGGGCACGGGGGAGGCTCCCATGGTGAGACTTGTTGCTGACCAGAGAGCACAGTTACTAAGCTAACATTAGCTTAGCAGCATTAGCTTCTCTGTAGCTGCACAAGCTACTGGTTTGTTGTGACAACGCCACATTACCCGTCAGCTAACACACAAGTGATGTGTAAAAAGATATGACAACACAGATGCACTCATTAGATGTTCTCCATTTTTTGAGCCGGCTACAGGCTAACTAACTTTTAAAAATGGCATCTAAAGTTGCACGTTAATTGTTGCACAGATCATTTACCATGTTCCTTACTACATGTATACTATTGTGCGTAACCTTAAATAGTATTAGGGTTGTACAGATTCACATTTGAAAGCCTGCGGTAAAAGCTTAATTCAAATCTAATTGTTGCAGCTCTACATTAAACATAGCAATTTGTAATTGTGCAAACATTTACAAATTCACAGTTAGAATTTGTTATGTTTAATTAATTAATTAATTAATGTTTAATTTAAGCTGCATCAATTATATATTATCATTAGAATAATCACCTACTATTTTGATCTGTTATTCGTTATTTTTCATTCAAAAAGTCAGAAAAGGCAGTTTTCATCCTGATTTTCCTCCAATATTTACTGCTTTTATCTTTTTAATACAACATAAAGCTGAATATATAAATACATCCCCTTGGAGTATGAGATACTGGGATGGAGATTTTTCACTATTTTCTGATGTTTTAGAGTGCAAACGATTTATAAAGTAAGTCCTTGTCAGATTCATCGATAATGAACATATTTTTCAGTTGCTGCCTCTGTTTAATGTTGCACCTGCACATTGAACAGTAAAAGATAAAGACCAACATGAAGCACCCCATCATTGTTGACAAGTCCCTTTTTGTTTGTGGACGTTAAGTAAACATTCACCCTGTCAATACATAAAGTATAACGTTTTTGTATGCAGCACTAGTCAATCTTCCTCTGACATCTCAATGTTGTTACCAATTTAAATGTTTCTGTAAGCACAAGAGCCAATATTGAAGCATAAACTCATGTATCGATTTTAATTTGTGAAGGAATATGTGGAAGGGGAAAATGATGGGAAAATCCAGGAAGATTGCCTGCAGAAATTCTCCAGTAGGGATTACATCATGGAGCCTGCCGTCTTCAACACGCTCAAAACGTAAGCACCTTTGCACATATTCTATAGTGTTGTTCTTCTATCAATTTTGATTCTTGATTTTTTTTAATGCTTTAAATCAATTCTTTTTTTATTTAAAGCTCCAAAACACTGAGGCTTCCTGGCTATACACCAGATTCTAACCTACCTAAAAACACACAACACCGTTTAAACTGAGAATGAGAACCCAAAATAACTGAACACTGGCACTGCACAGGAGTACTTCTGTGTTGGCCAATGTAAGCTCAAACGACAACCCTAAAGACCCACTGAGAGTATAACGATTGAAATCATATTCTTTTCAGATATTTCCAGTCCGGAGGCTCTCCAGAACACGTCATCGCGCTTCTCTCTGAAAACTACTCTGCTGTGGCTCAGACCGTCAACCTGCTGGCAGAGTGGCTCATCCAGATGGGTAGGTGTCAGGCTACATGGTCATGCAGAATCTTCTGGGAAATAACTTCCTCTTCCTCCTCTGATTGTTACTTTCTTTGTCAATGATTGCCATTCATTAATATGTCATTTCTTTATTTTGACTGCAGGTGTAGAGCCAGCTCAGGTCCAAGAGCGAGTAGAAAATCACCTCAAGAGTCTCCTGATAAAACACTTTGACCCCCAGAAAGCTGATTCTATTTTCACAGTCGAGGGAGAGGTGAGATTTCTCAAGTGATCACACATCCTGAAGATGTTGTGTACAAAGTGTTTCCTAATTTGTTCTTGTGTATTTGCATCAGAATATTGTCACTTGTAATGATCAGTTCTGGGTTTTTTTCTTTCCTGTATTTATCACATCTTAACATCTAGGTTGTAAATAAGCATTTTTTGCAAACTCCGACATGTTTACATCTGGTATTTTTATACAGTTAGTAATTAACACGCTCTGTTGCTAACACATAGATAAACAGTACATATAAGTTCAGCTTTAATGAACCAAACCAATCCACTGTCTTGTGTTTCAGACCCCTGCTTGGCTGGAGCAGATGATAGCTCACACCACGTGGAGAGATCTGTTCTATAAGCTGGCAGAGGCTCACCCAGACTGCCTGATGCTTAACTTCACTGTCAAGGTACGATCATATGAGGGGTAATACTTTGAGTATCAGTGAAGCAGTTTCTGGCCCTGTTGCTTTTGTTGACTTTCCTCATCAGATAAATGGGAATTAATGTTTGGTGCCAAAAATGTATGTATCATTTTAATTCAATCTTCCAGAATTATGCTTAATCTAAAGATATTCAATCAATCAATCAATGTTTATTTATATAGCCCAATATCACAAATGTTACATTTGTCTCAGTGGTCTTCACAGTTTGTACAGAATATCAGTATGAGAAAAACGACACCCTCTGTCCTTAGACCCTCACATCGTACAAGGAAAAACTTCCGGAGAAAACCCACAGTTTAAAGGGAAAAATGGGAGAAACCTCAGGGAGAGCAACAGAGGAGGGATCCCTCTCCCAGGACGGACAGACGTGCAATAGATGTCGTGTGTAAATCGAAAAGATAATACATTTTACAGCATAGGTAGTCCAAATGTTTGGAAATGCATGTGTCTGTAATAAGAAGATGAATCCACGAGGATGTCAGCAATCTTGTGGGAGCCATCAGGGAAGTGAGAGTCTGGCAGGACCGCAGAGACAGGTTCAGCCACGACTCGAAGTCCAGGACTCAGATCAGGACTCAGGATAGAGGATCCAGGACACACGACCACAGCAACAGGATTAGCCTCGACTCAGGATCCCGGCGTATATATGGACACAAAAAAGAGATTTGGGGGAAACTGGGTTAATCGGAACATGAGAGTACACAGGTACAAACAGCCAGAAAGACAGAGTAAGGAGCCCCCCCCCAACAGTCCAAGCCTATAGCAGCTAAACTAACGGGTCTACATACATGCACTCCCTTAGGATAGGTTGAGGGAAAGGGGTAGCAAGTAAGAAGTAGGAAACAGAGGTGGAGAGGCACACAGGGAGAGAGGTCCCCACTGGAACCTGAATTGGTTAGAGGTAAGGAGTAGGTCTGTGGCTACGTTCCACACTCCCCGGCCGGGCTAGGCCTTCTCTGCAACCTGTTACCCTCTATATATATATTATATATATATATATATATATATATTATATATATATATTATATACATATATTATCACCATAAATGTTTTACTCTTTGAAAAATATACAAATGGAAGATTTGTATGCTGGCAGCTTTAGATGAATTTTGGTAAATGATGTTGTCCTTTTGCAGATTAAACTATAGTTGAATGAATAAATACAATGACTTGATAGTTCAACGCTATAAAGACTCAATATGTTCAGCTGCTAAAGTCACTGTGTCGTTGCCTCTTATTAATGTTGGACCATTGTTTGTTTTGTTATTTTTTGCATTCTTATGCCTGAAAACACTTTTCAGAAGCATCATGTGTTTGTGTTTAGCTCATCTCAGACGCAGGCTATCAGGGTGAGATCACCAGTGTGTCCACAGCCTGCCAGCAGCTGGAGGTTTTCTCCCGGGTGTTGAGGACGTCTTTGGCCACGCTGATGGACGGAGGAGAAGAAAACCTGGAGAAGAACCTGCCAGAATTTGCTGTGAGGCTGCTAAGCCTAATCTCCTAATCCTCTGTTTGCTGCATGTGATGGTCTTTGCTGAGTTTCTTCCTCCTCTCCTGCAGAAGATGGTTTGTCACGGCGAGCACACCTACCTGTTCGCCCAGGCCATGATGTCCATCCTCTCTCAGGAGGAGCAGGGCGGGTCAGCTATTCGTAGGATCGGACAGGAGGTGCAGAAGTCGGCACATGAGCGGTAACTTCAACTGTTTTCTATTGTTTCAC